TCTCCCTTCAACCACTTTTCAGTTGTCTGTCCCCCAGGGAGGAGGTCACATATAGTTCCTTGTCCCCCCTGATAAATTATAATTTATTATTATTTTAAATATGTTAACACCATCTGCTGTCTCCCTTCACCCTCGTTTCTCTTGTTCGCACCTCCACTCCTGCCCCGGAGTGGTAGATGTCTATGTTGACCATTGCAGTCCTCAACCTTCCCCCTACCCTCATGGTATGGCTATTCCCATGACTGTTACTGAGGGGGTTACCTGTGCTGGACTCCATGTGTGGAGAGCTCCTAGCTGAGTGTATAGCATGGGGTTTTCAGGTTCATCCCTGTGTGGTTCCCATTGTCCGGAACCGCCCCAGTTTCTTCCTTCCCCCCCTTCCCCGCTCCTCTTCCCGTGATGGAAGTCTGGCTGGGCTCCACCGGTGGCCACAGTGAGCGGTACTGTCACCAGCACTGGGCGACAAGGTCTGCCTGATGCCCGCTCCCACCTCGGTGGGGCACATTCCAGGCCATCAGGCCCCGGGGGTTGTTGAAGAATGATTGTTGTTTTTCATCCTTTCCCTCCATCCTAAGGTTTGCCTCATTCCAAAATCCGCACACGGGACCAATCCGGCAAGTGCTCACATGGCAGGCATGAAGATTCAGCCGGTGGAGGTGGACAAATATGGAAATATCGACGCATCCCACCTCAAGGCCATGGTACGAGCCGTGTCAGTTGGGGAAGGACAGTGGGGACCCCCAGGACTAGATGGAGAATATCCGGGAGCTTCTCTTGTATGCTAATGAGAAGAACTGTCACCCTTCCTGGGGATGAGTCTAGGGATAATGAGCGCAAGATCGGACCCCTGACAGGCTTGATTAAGAATCAAGAGCAATCCTCGGTACCACTTTTGGTCCCCATAAGGCTGACCACCAGGGTCCACTTTCCCTTTCCCCTTGTCAGTAGGGCGGGTGAGGGGGGGGCTGCGATCCTTTCATCGGAACTCCCATCCTCTAGTTGACATGAATTTATTCATGGAGGTAGTAAGGCTTGAAAGTCCTCCCCTGCCTCTCTCTCCAGCCCTCTTCCTCCCCCTCACTGCTCCCTCTTGCCTCATTAACAAGCCAGCCTGCAGTCACACACACGTGGAGCCCATCCTGTGATGGGCATTAGAGCACATATGTTGGCTTTGCCGTGTCTGCGGCTGCCCCAGTCACTACCTGCTGCATCTCATTCTGTCAGCTTGCTTCAAATGCCAGCCCCGACTCCCAACCTCCAGGAAGAGGTTACTTAGCAACCGTATCTGCTTTCCACCGGTGGACCAACCGGAGGCTGCACCCGAAGAGGGAAGGGAATCCGTTGACTAGCAATGCGATCCGTCGGGGTTATTAGGCTGGGGGACGGAGCTCTTCGTGTATAGGCCTGCAGAGGGAAACTGAAAACACAATGCTCTTCATCTACGTCTCCCGGCCACACCCCCTTCCTCTCCCCTTCCCCACAAACTCCCCCTCACCCCCCACCCCCCAACACGTCTTCTGGGTCAGCACTTGTCATGATTAAGGGGCTCCAGGATAGGATCCAAGCGTTTCCTTTTGTTTGCCGCATGAGCCTGCTCCGGCTTGCTGGGCATGAAAACCGGAGCTTGCTTTCACAGGTGCTGGGCCTTCTGTCAAAAGGGCCACCCTGAGGGAGATGGTTAGTTACTAGAGCAGGTGGGAATTCTAATTTGATGGAGGGTAGAGGTGCGCTTCCAGAGAGGAGCAGAGAGCGGCTAACTGTGAGAGCGCACATGTCTCGAATCCCACTGCTGCCACCCAAAACGAGAACAAACCAGATGCGTCTGGAAACAAAGGGGTCTGTGGTAATTTGGGGGATGACGTGACCCAGAGAGGGGTGGGGCCCCGCTGTCCAGAATCCGAGCCTGAAAGGGCAGTCTGGTTTCTTGGGAGTGATTTATGAAGGGTCTTCTCTGGGTGCCTTTGTGCTTTGAGACAGCTCCGGGAAGGAGAAAGGCACAGCTTCGTGTTCATTCTCTGAAATAAAGAGCCAGACAGGCCATGTGGCCATGGAAGCAGCCTTCTCCTCCTCTGCCTCTCCCGGCCCTTCTCTGTCCCCAAAGGTGGAGAAGCACAAGGAGCACCTGGCCGCCATTATGATCACCTACCCGTCCACCAACGGGGTGTTTGAGGAGAACATCAGTGACGTGTGCGCCCTGATCCACCAGCACGGAGGACAGGTCTACCTGGACGGCGCAAACATGAACGCTCAGGTGGGGAGCGGGACAGGAGCGCCCCAAGTCCTCACAGTCCTCCCCCCGCCCCCTGGGGCTTGCTGCCCGCCATCCTACAGCAAGGCACTGGCCTCAGCACCTAGCCTGGCTTTATGGCCAGCTCCAAAGAAAGACTCTGTGTCCCTGCGAGGACAGGTCTGGGAGGACGTGATGGGGAGGCTGAGGCTATGGGAGGCTTGAAGGGTGGATGGAAGCTGGAGGTGAACTGAGTTTCCCTGGGCGGTGTTATCAGGGAGGATGAGCCCTCTGTGAGGGTGCCTGACGCTTCAAGGAATCCAGACCAAAGTGGAGCCTGGGGTCGGGGTTGAGCCCCATGGTCTTGGCCAAACCCCTTAAACTGGCTTCAGCTCCTTCAGCTGTGAAATAGCCGGGTTGCAGGCTCCCGAGGGGACCAGCCTGAGGGTGTGGTGGATCTCTGTCACTGCTCCCCCAAGAAAGTGCTGGCAGGTGGGGGTCTCCTGCAGCGAAGAGGATAGCGTGTGCTCTGTGAGGGTCTTTCTGACCATTTCACATCCTTTCGGTTTTGCTTCCATCACTTGTAGAGCAGAACTGGCTCTTTTACACTTGGTCACACTCAACATTAGCCAAGGGCTCGCCCGGTGGCAGGGATGCCCTCTAAGTGCCCCTGGCGGCATCTGGACCACCTCTGGGAAGTTGCCAGCCTTGCTTCATCTTCCACCCTCTACCCAGGGTCCTGTAGGGTGCTCTCCAGGCCTTCAGCCAGAGTATTCCCAGGGGCTGGCCATCCACTAGTGCCCCTGTCCCCCCTCTCCCCCAACGTGAGCATGCAGGAGCCAGAGAGCTGCTGGGAACACGTGACCTGCTTCCTTCATATGCGTGTTACTGGAACAGTACAGAGTTGAAGTTAGACTCTCTGTGCCTTGCCGTTTCCATAGAAACCCGAAAGGCCTGTGCTGACTGCCGACCTCGGCCTCTCCTGAGTGCCAGCCTGTGAATGCCCACCCATGCCCTGGGGATGAGGTGGTGGGTGGCCCCTCACCATCTCTCGGGAGCCGGACGGCACGCTTGACTCTGCTCTGGCCTTTCTTTCCCTTGGCGGCAGGTGGGGCTGTGCCGTCCCGGAGACTTTGGATCAGACGTCTCACACTTGAACCTGCACAAGACCTTCTGCATTCCCCACGGCGGGGGCGGCCCTGGCATGGGGCCCATCGGCGTGTGAGTGCTGGGCCCACGGGGTTGTACCTGGCTTTGGGGGTGAGGAGGAAGGAAGGGCTCCACATTGTCCCATCTCTGTCCCCCAAGGCGAGGCTACCTGCCTCAGGAGTCAGTGTGGGTGGGTGGGGTGGGCCCCAGGGGAGGGGTGCTTTTAGGACTGGGGTGAGGGGGGCAAAGAGACATCTAGTGGCTTGCATTCATTGCTAGTTGAGTGGCCACACTGGGCCAAGGATACACAGAGAAGACTTGTTATAGGGAACTTAGGTGCCCTGGTGGGGGAGGGGGTTAAGCACTAGGTTTCTAGCCCATAGGAGAGAAAGATGTACCAATTTATAGCATTGGAGCTCGGGGTGGGGGTGGGGTGGCAATGCACTTGCACCTATACGGGCACTGTGAGTTGGAATTGACTCGGTGGGAATGGGTCCCTTTGTGTTCGTGGCCTTTAATAACCAAATCCATTGCTGTGGAGTGGGGAGGGGAGTCTAGGACAGAGGAGAGGCGGCCAGGGGGGGTTGGATCCAGTTGATTCCTACTACTCAATAGGTCAGAGTCTAAGTGCCCTATGGGTTCTTGATGGGGACAGAAACCTCAGCTTTCTTCTGTGGAGTCCCTGGTGGGTTTGAACTGTGCTTAACTATGCCCCCAGGACTCCTCTGTTGAAGAGGGCAGGAGGCCTGGAGGTGAGGCTGGGCCCTCCCGGCTGTGCGACCAGCTCCACCCACAGGCCTGGCTGCCTGGCTGCCTGTCAGGCTGTATCCTCCACCTGAGGGTTTGAGAGAACCGAGGTGGGGTGGGGGGTCAGATCACTCCCAGGCTATGTCCCTCAGCCAGTGGTGTCACTAGTGGGGTGTGGGGATCACGGGGATACTGTCGGGGGTGACCCCCAAGTGACTGAAGTTTTTCATTGTGCTGGCAGAAATATAGCACTTGTTCTGAAAGCGTCCCTGGAGTGAGTTTCCTATCTCCATGCTTCAGCTCACCTCTAATGCCAGGGCTCGAGGCTAACTTACTGCTTTGAGCCCTTGAATGCACTGGTCACCCAGTTACACGGATGTGGCCTGGTCTGTACACACCCTTAGCTTTTGTTACTGTCGGTGTTTTGTTTCCAAACATTTAACTGGTATGTAGTTCACGTATCGTGCAGTTCCATAGTTCACAGGCTGGTGTTTTCATAATCACTGATCTCTTCAGACTCTGGTATGTAGGTGAGCCTACAGCGATAACTTTTGGGGGAAAGAAGTCGTTAAGTAGAAGACAAAAATTGAACCAGGCTTTGGCTCAGTTACCCATAATGTTGTAAATGGCAATGTTGTAATTCAAAGTAGGACGATGTCACAAAACACTTCCACGGTTAGCATTCCCATAAACTGAGAAAGGTGACATTGAAGCCATTCACAACTGTATTTCTCACCTTGCTCTGTGACTGACATTGAGAGTAAGCCTTACTGAAGATTCTGTGTGGTCTGGCTTGGGAGGAAGTCCAGGGGGCAGGGGCACACAATGAGTTAGTGTGACCCAGTGACACCGCTGCTCAGGTCCTCTGCGGAGAGCAGAGTGTCCCTATCCAGTTCAGCACCCGCCTGTTGGGTGGGGTCCTTTCTCATCTCATGAAATCCTACTTTCAATGTACACACAGGAAGCAGCATCTTGCCCCCTTCCTGCCCAGCCATCCCGTTGTTACAGCTAAGCTGACGGGGAACGCATGGCCTGTGGGTACCGTGAGCGCAGCGCCGTGGGGCTCCAGCTCCATCCTACCTATCTCCTGGGCATACATCAAGGTAAGGCCCAGGGTGGGTGTGGGGCAGGCGTATGCGATGTGGTAGGGATGGAAGGAACCACAGACTCCCTCCTAACAGCAACGAAGACCCCCCCACCCCCACTCCTGCCTCCACCCCCATCTGAGATTCGGCCCAATGGATGACGCCCAAAGACGAGAGTTCAACGCAGGCTCTCGAAGCGCATTCAAAACCTATATTGTAACCGTCCCCAGGGGGTCCTGTATGCTCACGGATGCTCGTGGATTCCCAGGTGATTCTGATGTGTACGTAGAAAAGAGGGGACTTCAACAAGTTTGTGGGAAATATCTGATTCTCTTCTTATTCCGTTCCCGATGGACTTGTTGAAGCCCGCTCTTCAGGGAGACCGTAGAGGACACAGCAGAACTGCCCCTGTGGTTTTCTGAGCCTATACGTCTTCATGGGACTAAATAGTCTCATCTTTCTCCCAAGGAACCAATGGTGGCTTTGAACTATTAACCTTGCAGTTAGTAGCCCAGTGGGTAACCCTCTCCGCCATCAGGGCTCACTCTCAGACTTGGTGGCATTAGTAAGCTTGGCGTTGCTTTTCATGGGCATCACATTCGGTTTTCAAATCCTCCAAACAGCCAAACTCACTGCCACCAAGGTCATTCTCTCCCCAACTCACCACCCTCGGATCGAGGCCCACTCACCGCGAGCCTGTAGGACAGGAGAACTCCCCGGTGGGTGTCTGAGACCCTGACTCTACGGCAGTGGTTCTCAACCTGTGGGTCGCAACCCCTTTGGGGGGCTCAAATGACCCTTTCACAGGGGTCACCCAGTTCATCACAGTAGCAGAATCACAGTTAGGAAGTAGCAACGAAAATCATTTTATGGTTGGGGGATCACCACAACATGAGGACCTGTATTAAAGGGTCGCAACATTAGAAAGGTTGAGAACCACTGGTCTACGGGAAAGAAAGCCTCGTCTCTCTCCCTTCCCATCACAGGGATCTGGTTAAAACGCAGGGCCTGATTCCGTCTGTGGAGGGTGGGGAGGCAAATTCTCAGCTGGGCCTTGAGCCTCAAGGAACCAATGTGAAGCCCTGGTTGAGTACATTCCACCTTGTCTCCACTGCTTCCTCTGGGTCCCCTCCCTCGTAAGCCGAACCCCGGAGGGAATGACACACCAGCGGAGTTTTCCAGACAGAGCCCAGTTCCATGAGTCAGATGGTTTCCTGTAGGATTTTTGCAACCTCTTGCAAAAAAGCAGAGTCATGTGCGTGCTAATGATGACACTTGGTTGTTGTGATCCGGGGGCATTAGAGGAGTAGGTCTCATGTGGTTATTTTCTTTCCTGGCGGCCTGGGGAAGATGATGAGAAGCAGCAACGATTTGTTTATGTGGTGCTTTCCCCAAACCTCTCATCCCTTTAGGGTCAGCGGGATTGTGCGCTCTGGGTAATTAGACTTTGTTAAAGAATAGGCCCCCTTCCTTCCGTCTTTCTCTAAAAGACACGGGGTCAGAGTTTCGTTTATACAACGCTTGTTCAAACTGGCTTGCCCAACTCCCCAGCCAACAAGACAGTGTTGGAACGGGAACAGCAGGTGTCCCAAATGAGGGTGGTCTCCGGTGCAATCAAAGCCTCAGCTATACCCATGCTCCCCGAAGAATCTCGAACGTTGATTGTCATGCTGTGATCTTCTAAACTAATACTGGATGATGTTCTCGGTGAAGGTTCTCACCTGACTACAACTCAACATCTGCCCCGGTGTGACTCCTGTGAGACAGAGGGCAGACATGCCACCATCCCCCAACCTACTTGATCCGACAACCGTCCTTCTTGTGGCCCTCCACCTCCCTGCTCCCCTGCTGGGTTTGATCATCCATTGCAGTGGCCACACAGAACCCACAGGCAGTGCTCACGGTTTGTGGAGGTTGTCAGGGGAGTTAACAGGTTATAAGTCAGGATCAGAAATGGCCAGGATACAGTTCTTTTGCCGGCAGGACCTCTTCTCAGCCATGTTGGCTAAGCTCATCTGTCTCTGGTCGTAAGCCTCTCCACCATGTGGCTCTGTGTGCCCTGCCCTGCTTGGGCAAGTGTTATAAAGCTGCCTTATCTCTGATAAGTGTCCCACTCTGCAAATCAGCCTTGTGCCCAGAGACACCCAGCTTCACTTGGTCCATAGGCCGGGAACCCCCCAGTCACCACTTCTCTGAGCAGGGGTCTCAGAGGCATCCCGGCCTTGGCTATTCTTGGTGCTGTCATGGTGTTGTCCTTTCTGCTTCTGAGATGGCCCGCTGTAAGCCAGGTGTAGGCCCTCCTCATCAGAGCCCTTTCCACCTCGTTTGAATGTTCCCACATAGTCGTCTGGTGGGAGTTACAGACTGGAGAGAAAGAGCAAGCCATTTCACTTCACCGCACCATTGAAGAATTTCAACACAAGCTGTCCGGCGACATTGGCCGCACAGTTCTCAGCGTGTGACCATTCTTAGTGGGTGTGTTCTGTTTCCAGGGATCTAATTGAAGGTAGCTCCATGGATCTACAGTCTCTTCTCTGCTTTGAATGAAATGCTAACCATTTGGTCGCCCATAGGTGGTTATTCAAAGGAACAAAGTGCTTATGGGGACATTAATTTGGGGGGGGTTATTTTTCTCTATTTTTGGTGAAAACTCAACACTAGCCAATTCTTTCACTATGCACCAATCCATACACAATTGCTCTGTGACTTTGGTCTCTATCCGTGCAACAGGCCATAGTCTCCCCACTTCTACCAGGCCTTCCCTGCGTCCATTGCTCCAGCTGCTTCCCTGTCCCTCTTGGTCTTCTCTGTTGGCTTTTGGGCAAACCTGCCCATTGGTTTGGTCCCAGCCAGTAGATGGAGTTCACTTCTCTCGGGTGTTGTTTATTTTCCAGGATGAATCTGTTATTTGGCCGAAAGGCGCCCCCTGGGAGTGACTCTAGTTCCAAGCAATCCTTTATGATTCTTAACCAACACTTCTTGGAAGCTGGAACAGTAATTCTGCACCGCGGCACCATTGGTGCTGGAAGTCAGTCCATTCTGACTTGTGGGGGCCCAAGGTGCTCAGAGAAGAACTGTGCCTTTCCCAAGTGAGAGTAGGGGGGAGCATTTGCCCCAGCACAAAGCTCAGCAGGCAAAGAGGGGCTGGTTGGAAAAAGGGGAGCCCTGGAAACGCAGGGAAGCAGTGGCAGGGTACTCGGGGGCATTGCGTCCAGAGACGTGGAACAACGTGTCCCCGAGCTGTTCAGTGGAAAGACAATTTGCTAAGATGTGGGAACCTGATCTGCTCTGTCCAGCGTCGCCTAATTCACAACGAAAAGTTTTAAAGATTGACAACACACTTTCTACAAAACACCAAGCTCTTTTGCAAATTGTGACGACACAAACGGTGACGAAGGTTTGCTTCTTCGGGGACAGGATCCATTTCCCAGCCCCCTCTGACTCCCCGCTGTCCAGGTTGGTTGTCGCCATAGACGGGGAAAATGTTTCCCACGTGTAGGAAAATCAACAGCATGCCCAAGCTGCTGTGATCATTGGCCAAGGACTAAAGTGAGGTTTGATCTGGGGTCACCAGGGGGTGGGATGGGGGATGCAAAATAGTTAAGCAGTCGCTGGCTAGCTGAAAGGTGGACTGCCGGGTCTGGATTAGTCAGGCCTGGTGATGTGCTTCTGAAAAGTCCCAGCCTTGAGACCCCTTGGGAGTGGGTGGAGACTTGGGGAGGCGGTGGATCAAAGTTATTTCATTGATTATTGACCACTGATGTCATCCTCTGTGAAGAAGGCCCAGAGGAAGCCTGGGGGTCCTGCCTGAAGCAGGTGTAACCCACTGGGGGTGGCTACAGTGAAACGCAAGCCCGTGTGCAGAGGGGCCCCTACCCTGCACATGCGGGGTCGCTGGGAGGCAGCTGACAGCACAACTGCCAGACCCGCCCACACCTCGTCCTGACCTCCCGCTCGCTTTCCTCCTGCTTCCCAAACCCAGCCTGCACAGGATCCTTGTTCTTGTCAGCGGGTCAGTTCCCACCAATAGGTACACACCCCCCACTCCTCCCCACCCCCACCCCCGTGTGTGTTAGGAGAGTGGTGCTCGGTCCTGTTTCCAAGGCCGTGGGGCCTTTCAGAAGCACAGCACCACGCCTCTCTTCCCACTCTGGTTTAAGCCCCTGACCGTCGGACCAGTTCATACAGCACCTGGCCATTTGCCCTATCCAAGGCCCCCATCAGATAATTCTTAGGGAATTAAAACAAAACCCACAGTCGTGTCTAGGCCTTATCCACCAGGCTCTGAGACACAGACCCACCGGCATTTGGCAAATGTAATCTGATGACACTAACTCACTGGTGCCAGGCCAGTGGCCAGCTGAATCCAGTCCAAGTCCTTCCCAGGGAACATTCGAGTCTGAAAAGGTAGGCGCCATCCCATTGGTCTAGGGTAGCTCCCAGGCTGGCCTTCTCCTTCCTACCTTGCTATCTGTCAACCTCGACACCTGCAGGGTCTTCCCTCTGCTCTGCTCCCCCCTGCCCTCACGTCAGCCCAGTTTGAAGTCTCCACATGAGCTCTCCCTCTCCCTCTCACCAGCCTGGCCAAACCATGCTCTCTCCTCACGTGGGACCTGCTGTCACCCGGTGCCTTCACCAGAGCTTTGTATTGATTGGGCATTTATCCAAACCCACGCTGTCCGTGCGCTGCGCTGGGGAGAGGTTTCAGAGAAATGGGTGCACTCTTAACTGTGAGCTTCTCTGCCGGTGAGGAGGCTGATTCCTAGTGATCACAGACTGTATTAACCACAGGGGAAGGATCAGAGGAGGAGGGCCTTGTGACTGTGAAACAGAAATAGCCTTGTCCATGGACACCCGGCAGAAACCATACGAGATGGATTAAATGGGTACTATCCCCAAGATCCCATGGCCTCCCTGGCAATGATCAAGCCATCTCAAATCCTCAGTGAAACACACAAACCACATGTGTGCACTCTTAGAGCAATCCTCCAATTCAGTCAGTGCAGCGATCAGAAGTCTGTCCACTTGGCCCTGCTGTAGGACCGGTGACCACGGTCAGCCAGAAAAACCAAACCCACCACCACCACCACCCAGGGGCAGTCCTGCCTTGTTCTATAGGGTCTCTGTGATGGCAGTGGGTTTGGTTTGTGGTTTTGTGAACTGCAGAGTTGGGGTGTGGCTGACTTCTGTGTGGGTCATGGATTGGGGCCGTCTTGGGTGCCGGAGTCCTGGTGGCATGATGGTGATGTGTTGGACTGCCAACCACAAGGTCAGTAGGAAAGCCAGCCTGTCTGCTCCCATACAGAGTTAGTCTCAGGCACCCGTGGTGGGGCAGTTCGACGCTGCACTAGAGGGTCACCACGGGTCAGGATTGACTGGATGGCAACGAAGTGCTCTTTTGGTCTTAGGTGCAGGGCTTTGGACCTGCTCCCCAGTTTGGTCCTCTACTGCGAATTTGCCTTTCTGTCCCATAAAGGGGAGTCAGAATCCACATTTGAACAAGTTCACTGGATGGTTCCTCTAGGTCCTGGGAAGATAGTGATGCTGATGCTGTTGTAAGAATTAATTGTCTGCTGGCTCTAGATTCCGTTTCCGTCTCTCTGGGGTGGAAAGCAAATTCTCAGCAGGGGTGGAATGGGAAGGAACCAGTTGGATGCCCTGCTCCAGTGAGTGACTTACCTGCTGGCCTCATTCTCCTTGCTCAAGGGCTGATGGCTTCTCTTCTCTCTTGCAGATGATGGGCGGCAAGGGCCTTAAACAGGCCACGGAGGTTGCTATCTTAAACGCCAACTACATGGCCAAGCGATTGGAAAAACACTACCGAGTCCTCTTCAGGGGAGCAAGAGGCAAGTGTCAGCTTCTGTCCTTTTCCCGACACCTTGGCTTCGTTTCTGCCAAACCACATTTGACTGAGCAGATGTGGTTTCTGAGCTAAGTGAGGGCCTGGGCGGAAAGTTACTGGAAATACCTTCAGTTTAGTAGCTCTTGAGGGATGGCCCCGAATGCAAGGACAGGTTGGCCACTGCTTCTCCACAGCCCATGTCAACAGGGAGTCCACAGGATGGAGAGGTTGATCCTAAAGGCCCTTTCCCTAACAGCGCACTCTGGGGAAGGTCTGCCGTGGAATGACGTGTGGGAACAAAGATGGGAGAAGGTTCTCGGGGAGTCCTTCCAGGGAATAATCTTGGAAGGGAGAGAAGGTAGAAGCAGAGGGCACTGAGGTACAAGCCGAGCCTGTTACCCAGATGGCTGGATTGAGGGTGGGCTTAACATTTAGGCTAGGAAGAGAGCAGGTGAGGGTGAAGGTGACGTCATAGACCCTGGTTCTGGAAGTCTTGGGCCTTACCCTCCTGCCAGAGGTAGACAGGAAATGTTTTCACATTATTTCACTAGAGCAGAACAGACGCCGATCCCGCCATTTCTACATGTTCTGGTTCAGTGCCATAATGGCAGTCTTCAGGTTGTTCAGCCATCTCCACCCGCTTTTCTGAGCTGTGGCTCCACCCCCATAAACTCGCTGCCCCCTGAACTCCCTATCCAACCGTTTGACTTGCCATTGTCAGACGGTTCTGTAAAAGTATTCCAAAGTCAAACTCCCTGCCAGCAAGTCCATGCTGACGCATCGTGCCCCTATAGGGCAGGGTATACCTGCCCCCTGTGGATTTCTGAGAGTGTTAACACTTTGTGGGAGTGGGAAGCCTCATCTTTCTCCTAGGCTGCGGCTGGTGGTTTCAAACTGCTGACAGCAGCCCAATGTGTAACCACGATGCCACCAGGGCTCCAAAAGAACACTGTTACTTATTAAAGCAAAGTATTATTTGGCTTAAAAGGAAATCTCAGGAGATATTTTAGATTTAAGATTTAAAGATTCTATCAAGGCAGCCATTTCAGGGACTTAAGTTATCTATTGTTTATGGAACAGAAACCCACAAGTGGATGGCTAAAAGTCCAGATTCAGATTGGGAGCCTCAACTCAAGGAGAAGGTCTCTCCCTCTCTCTGCCTGTCTGTCTGTCTCTTTCTCTGTCCTCTCTGCTCTAGGAGAAGGCCCTGGTTTCCTTTCAACGTCTGTGGGCCCAGCATACCTAGCGGTCTCCATATAGCTTGGTCTTGGAGGTTCTCGGCACAGTGACCCTGGCTCTTTCTTGTGTTGGTGCAGAGGGCCCTTCTTTGCTTCTCTGTCCTGTGTCTGTTGTAAGATAAGTGGCGATCCAGGCTATACCCTTGGGAAACTCCCCTTACACGGATCAGGACTGTGACCTGAGTAAGGGGGGTGACTTGAGTAAAGGTAATGCATCCCACCTGAACCCTGTTTCATGACCACAGGAAATACAACCTAAGCCTCTGTAGCCTAGTCTGCTCCCCTCCCCTAACCCTGCCTCATTCACTCCGGCTGAGGTTAGGCTTCACAACTCATCACAAAAGGTAGGGCAGTCGTACAATACTAGGAATCATGACCTAGACAGGCTGACGTGTGTGTGTGTGTGTGTGTGACACCATTGGATCTATGACTAGGGCATTAGAGGACTTTTAAGGGGTAGGATTCATTAAGAAACAGTTACAATCATTCAAACGTTGGCAGGGTAGAAGTAAAAGCAGTCGGACTTACTTGGTTCCTGTATCATTGAGTGTGGAGGAGAAACTTGAGGGGACCCTAGTGTGTTGGAGGCATCCCTAGCCAGGGTGAGTGTCGCATCCATTCGGCCGCCAACTGGGGGGTTGCTGGTTCAAGTCCACCCAGAGGTGCTTTGGAGGAAAGGACTGGTGAATTGCTTCCCCCCAACCTGCTGTGGGAAGCCAAGGCAACACAGCTCGGAGTCAAGCTGACGGGAAGATGTTTTTCCACGTCCAGGCTGGTTTTGCCCTAGGAATATATATCCAAAGGGTCGGTTTTGAATTTGAAAACAGAAAGGAACAGAGTGACCTGGAGCTCTGGTTTGGAACGCTCCCCAGAGAGGAGAGAGGAAGGCTTTGCGCAGTGTGTCTCCAGGCAACAACATAAGGAGCCTCTGAAGCGGGCATCAAGCGGAGGCACTTAGTGAGCGCAGACACGAGCCTGGCTCCTGTGTGGGCGCTGCCCTTCAGGGCTCTCCCCGCCCCCGCCCCCCTCCTGTCTGTGTGTGTCTGTGCAGTCGAGCCGAGCAGTGTGAAGATTCTGGAAGAGAAAGATCGGTCCATGGCCCGTGGCACCGTCGTCCCGCCACATGGATGAAACCACTGTTAGGACCGTGCTTGTCTCCAAGGAGGTTGGATGTCGTCTTCCGGGCACAATTTATATCCCGGGTCTTTTCTTATTCTGTGAGTGTCTCCTCCCTTAGCTCCATTCCGACTTCCGGTGACAGAGTGGAGCTGCCACCATGGGTTTCATTGCTGTCGCCTTCCACCTGCTGACCCACTGTGACTCCAGGGCCCGAGTCCCTGAGCGCTGTGGGGGATTCTCAGTCCATCCTGCCACGAGCAATAGGAAGGTCTCGCGTAGGCCCCAATGGAGCAACCTTCCTGTAGGCTCTTTTCAAAGACAATGCTGAAGGTTTTCTTAGGTGAGAGTCTTAGACGAGAAAGGATGGGCTTACGCATTGACGGTCTTGAAGTGCATGGCCTCGTTCCCACCCCCCCTCCCTAGAGATGTGGTGTCACTAAACTTCACAGGGAACATGTATGTGCGTGTCCAGTCCACCTGTGAGCGTGTCCACCTGCAAGTGGCCATGTGTGTGCGCATCCTCTCTGCGAGTGGGCAGTGGGCGTGTGTCCGAATCCCTCTCTGAGGGCCCGCTGCGGGAGTGCCCCCCGTGAGTGGCCCCCTGTGCCTGCTGTGTGCGTGTCCCCTGCCCCAGGGCCCCGAGAGGACCGAGTACCAAGCTGGAAACCAACCCCACAGAGATCGGCCTACTTGCGGGGTGAGCGATGAGCGCATTGTTTTAATTTAGGAGGCAGAAAGTGCTGGTCTTAGTGGTTTTCTGCATGTTCCAAGAAGTGTGTGCAAAACAAGGGTAGATTTTCAAAGAAAAAGATCAGCTTATACAATTGTGTTGGGGCGGGGTGGCACTCCAGGAGTGGGAAAGGGTGATGGGGGGAGAGGTCCGTCCAGTGCTCCCTGATACCTGCCCTGAGCACTTGGCTGCTAGCCCTGAAGGTGGAAGCCCCCCGGCGACTGTGTGTGTGGGAAGCCTGTTGGTCCCAAAGATTGCTGTGAGGTGCCATCAAGACACTGCTGAGTCCCAGCTACATTGTCCCAGCCGCCTGAACAGGCCCTGGGCCCTGTGCCAGCCCCACATGTTCTCCTGTTGGGAGCCCACTGTTGCGGCCAATGGGCCGATCCACATCCTTTCCAACACCCTCCCGATGGCTGACCACCCCTCCACTTTGCCACTCACGGTGTCCCTCCTCCAGAGACTGGTCTCTCCTGACAACATGTCCAAAGTACGTGAGCTGGAGTCTCAGCCTTGCCTCCAGGGAGCACTCCACCTGGCTGTGCTTCTTCCAAGACATATTCCTTGGCGCCGTCATTCAAAGGCTCGACCGAGTCTTCTGTCTTCCTGATGGGTGTCCAACTTTCACATGCACACAGGGTGACTGCAGATACCATGGCTTGGATCTGGTGTACCTTAATCTTCAAAGTGACACCTGCATGTTTGAACATTTTAGTGAGGTCTTTGCAGCAGATGGACCGCATGCGATGCAGTGTGTAAAGAATACAGCCCTGGAGACACCATCTGGGTATTTACATTCTATTCACTCACCTGGGGCCACTACGAGTGGGTTTGAACCACATTCGGGGCGGGGGGTTTGGGTGGGTGGGGGGGCGCTGTGGTTGTTCAATGGGAAATCCAGGTGTGATCCTTGGCTGTTGCCCCTCCTTGGAGGACACCACCCTTGCTTGTTACCATGATGCTGAGTGTGTTTCCATTGGGGGAGCTTCCAGATTAAGAGTAAGGAGAAAGATCTTGGCGATCCACTTCCCCCAATCAGCCAGTGAAAGCCCCATGAATCACAATGGTTGTAGCCTGTTGTGGGGTGCACGTGAGCGTGGGGTATCCCTGAGTCGGTGTGTGTGTGTGTGTGTGTGTGTGTGTGTGTGTGTGTGCTGGAACACAGCTGTAGGCAGAAACTGCTCCCCAGCTTGGGTTGGTGGGGGGAGGCCTCCCCCCCCACCCCGTGCGAAGAGGGGGGGGGATCTGTGGCACAAAAGACGGAGGACAGTTTATCCTGGCATTTCATCCCGGAATTAAATCATGACGAGTATGTCTCCTCCCAAGATGGGCGATTCTAGACTTTCTTACTCAACCTCCCAGAGTGGTCTCGTGCTTGGTCTGGTAAACACATGCATTGAATAATGGGAGGTCTCGTGTTTAAGGCTTTAAAAAGAACCATTGCAGTCCTCTCCCCGCCACCCCCTTGCCGAAGGCTCAAAATAGCACTGTCCTTAGTAAACAGGCTGCTTCCAACAGGACACTCCCCATTGGCATTGTCCCCCCCAGCCCCAGGAGGGCTTTGGGGTTTAGAAGGCTGAGGCCCTCCCTCGAATGGACTTCAGCCTCATCTTACTTAACCCTTTCTTGTAGGGACTCACACAGCAGCAACGCTACCCAGGCCAGCTGGGGGAGCAGTGAGCGGGCAACGCTGCCGGGCATCGGCGGAGGGAGTTGTAGGAAGGGATGAAGCTTCACAGGAGGAGCTTTTTAAAACCAGGCCTCTGCTCTTGTGGGGGTCCATCTCCCGTACTTGTGGGGAGGCGGTGGTCCCAGGGTTTCACTGTGTTTTCATTGCCTGTTGCCCTCTACCTTTTACAAACCCTCCTCTGTGTGGACCTTCCTGTCCCGAAGGGGCTTCCTGGTGGCCTCAAGTGATACGCAAGGTACTCAGTCCCCGACCAGGGAAAGTGACCCTCCTGAGGCCAGCCCCACGCCGACCTGAGCCCATTCTTCAGGACAGCAGCCAGGCATTTGGATTTTGTCCCTCACAGGCCCCAGGCTTGGTACCTGGTTCTTTCAAGCCCTGTGGTGTAATTAGCTTGTGAGCAGATTCTTGGTAGGCAGCCCATCTACAGATTCTCGAGGCATAAGCAAGGGGTCCCTGCTTTCAAGGTGAGTGGGGATGGGGTTGGAGAAGCCTTATTCCCTGATACTGTGAACGATGCATGTCCTCAGTCCAGCCAGACACGGCTCCGACGAAAGTGGTGATCCACTTCTGAACGATCAGAGCTGAGAGCCTCACGGAAGGAGCACAGTTCTAGCTCTGAACACACGGGTGGTCGTGGGCCAGAAAGGCCTTGTGGTTCTGCGTTCATTTCCCGGACGTGCGCCTGTGTCATCTTCTGCCTCAGGAGAGACTGAAGGCATGCAGGTTCGGTTCAACCTTAGAACCAAGCCACCTGGGTTTCGCCTTTTCTCTCAGCCCGCTCACCTCCTTGCTCTTGTGACTTGAGAGCTTCGCAGGCGTTACATCACGGTCCTTTGTAGTTGGACACGCGGACTCCTTGAAAAGGCACACTTCTACCCGCCACTTTGGATACTTTCTACTTCAGACCTTCCCAGCCTGCCATGCGCCCCAGGAAGCCTCGCATATCTTTCCTGCCAAGCTGAAAACAGACACAAACATCTGGTATCTGGCCTGTGACGGCCACCAAGTTTCCATTTCCTCTCCGCAGAGAGAGATGGTGCAATCCCACTCCCGTTTCCGTTGGGGAGCAGCGGGAGACGGCTTCAGAAAACATCTGAGCCTCATTTGGGCACTTCTTTTCCAAGCCAGTATGGGGGTGGAGGTGGAGGCGCCCTGTGAACGGAGGCTGGTGGTGGGCAGGGCCGGGGCTGGCTTGGCAGCTTAATGTCGTTCAGCTATTGGTGCTGCTTGGTCTAGAAGGGTCTTCCTGCCCTGCCCCTCATCTTCTATGTGTGCCCGGTGGGCAGGCTGCCTCTTCCTCTGAGATTTTTCCAGGACTGCATTCTCAAAGGGCACTAGAGAGGTGGCTTGTCCTTAGGTGCTGACTCACAGCGGCCCAATTACGGGAGAACAAAACACTGCCCGGATGTGTGCCGACCTCACAGTTGTGCCTGACTCTGGGCCCGTAGACCTAGCCCCTGCATCTACCCATCTTGTCGAAGGTCTTCCCCCTGTCTGCTCCCCTGCGACTTTACCAAGCATGATGTCCTTCTGCAGCGACTGGTCTCTCCTGACACCATGTCCTGGATTCAAACTTTGTACTTGCCTAGTTCCAATTATTAATTGACGGTTGCAGCTGTTTCTTCTCATTTTGAGTCCTGCCCCATCCGCACATGAAGCTCCCGAAGGCTTGACTCCATCTGCGGCCGTACGGTTGACGCTACCTTTGAGAAGGTTGCTCTTCTGCGATCATACTCTGAGTGCCTTCCGGCCGGCGGGCTCTTCCTCCGGCACCGTCTCCACCTTGTTCTGCTTCTCATCATGAGCTTTTCAGTATTTGGCAGTGTTTCCATTGTGTCCATAAGGTTTTCAGCCATAAGGTTCATAGCCTCTTCCTTGGGGTCTGTGCTTAGTCTGGGAGCTGTGCTGAAACCTGCTTATGTTGGGTGACCCTGCTGGCATTTGAAATACCAGTGATGTAGCTTCGAGCATCACAGCAACACATAAGCCACCACAGTACGACAAACTGACAGACAAGCGGTAGAGGTGGCCTAAAACGACACATATCTGTTGTCTCACAACTGTGGAACCCCCAGGTCCAAAGTTTAGACCATGCCCCCTGGGAGGACGGGAGAGGCAGGTCCTTCCTGGTCTTCTCCAGCTTCTGGTGAGAGTCGGCTTGCAGAAGCATCGTTCCAATCCCCACCTCGGTCTCCTCTTGGCTTTGGTGTTCGTGTGTCTGCGTCTCAATCCTCCTGCTCTTGTAAGGACACCCCTCATCAGGTGAAAGGCCACCCTACTGTGGTGTGACCTCATCTTAACTCAATTCCCTTGGCGAAACTCTGACTTCCAACCAAGGCCACAGTCACAGGTTCTGGGGGTTAGGGCTTCAGCATAGCTCTTGGGGAGACTCCGTTCAAGCCATAAGACCTTCTTGCACATGACACTGTCGTGGTCTAAGGTGGCCGCCAGAGGCTCTGAGAAGCAGAGGCTAAGGCAGGACTCCCAGAGGCAGGACCAGGACAAGATCTTTAGGCTCCCTGGAAAGGTGTCCCTGAGTTGAACATGTAGAAATGGTTGAATCGGTGCATACTGCGCGTTTTAGTCCAGGCTACACCCCAACAAGCGAATATCAGAATAAAGTGAGTCCCAGTGCCCTGAAAAGTTAGGGTCACGTAGCACTGTGGTCTATGAAGAGCCCAGGTGGGGTAGTGGTTACCTGTGGGGCTGCAATCCACAAGGCTAGCAGTTCGAAACCACCAGCCACTCTGGGAGAAAGACGGGCACTTCTACCCTGTGCAGGGGGTTGCTGTGCATGAGCGTGGACTTAATGGCAGGCAGTGGGTCATCTGTGAAGTCGCAACAACTCGCTGCCGTGGATCGATATTGCCTCGAGCGGCCCTCTAGCCCAGGGTAGAACTGCCCGAATGAGTTTCTGAGACTAACTGTTGACAGAGTAGAAAGCCCAGTCTTTCTTGAAGTGCAGACCTTGACAATAGTGGCCCCACACACACGTTTAACTCCCTCGCCACCGGATGCAGGCAACGGCCTCACGAACACGTTCAAACTAGAGTGAGAAGGGGCCAACATGTGGCGCAGAGACACCGAGAGAGCGCAGGCTGTTGGGAAAATGGTGCCCATATCCTTTGATGTCTACTGCTCTTGGACAATTGTTAAATGGTTGTGCAGGACAGGATGGGCTCCTCCTCTGTCTCCAAAGGCTGCTGAGCCTTGAGCTCGCACGGGAGGGCTGCAGTGACCCCGTGTGCAGTGATCGGAGGCCCTTGGAGCAGGAATGGCCTCTGACAGCTTTGGCGAACGTCCCATCCCATCAGCCGCCTGCCTCAGGGGTGTCGTGAGAACTGAGAATGGAACACTTTGGCCCGACTTAAAATTGGTACTTGTCTCAAGGGCCCGAAGTATTTATTGCTAATGGACAAGTGGCCCACAGCTTCTTGGTCTTCGTTTCCCTGGACAAAACAGTAAGTGGACTCTCTTCTTCAGTTGACACCCTTTTCCTGAACAGGTTACGTGGCTCATGAGTTTATCCTGGACACTAGGCCCTTCAAGAAGTCTGCAAATGTTGAGGCTGTGGATGTGGCCAAGAGGCTCCAGGATTATGGTGAGTGGCCTCTGAGTGGGTCCCCGAGGCTTCCTGTATGTAGCTGCCCAGGCCTGACCCTCTGATGACTGACATCAACATCCCCAAAGTACGAGCCCAACAGATGGACGCCCTGGGAGCTTACCTCATGTGTTTCCCTGTGAGGATCTTTGCTTTGAAGGCGCCCTGGTGGCACAATGGTTGAGCGCTGGGCTGCCAACCTGAAATCTGTTGAATGCAGGCTGTGCGGGCATGGGCGTTCACTGAGCAGGCCTTTCAGCTTCTCGGTGCGACGGAGCGTTTGAATGATAAACTAGCGGGCACCAGGCTGTAAGGCACACGGCTCAACTGCCCAGCAGAATCGGTACCCACTGGGCAGCTGTTCTTCAGCTTCTCACGTGGCACGGCATATTCGTGTGACATGGGAGGGAGTCGCTTCTTTTGTCCAGGAGAATTAAAAAAAAAAAAAATTGATTAAGTGTTATCTATCCATTCACATACAATTGTCCAGGAGAATTTTTGACCTACTGGTCTTTAAAAAAAACCATGAAAAAAACCCAGCAATTGTTTTTAACTTTTTAAAATTAATCATTTTATCGGGGAGCTCTTACAAATCTTAGAACAATTCATCATCCCATAGTATTAAGCGCGCTTGTACACATGTTGCCATCAACATTTCCAAAACAATTTCTGCTCGAGCCCTTGGAAAAATCTGACTTTCACTATGTGATTTGGATTTTGTTTTGTGACGTGGCTCCCGAGCCCTCCCGTGGCACCCGCCCTCTGTCCCTTTACTCCCCGCCTCGCCCATTTCCTTTGGCCTTTCCTGCCCATCCCCACCTTCTGCGCACCCGAGGCCCTTCCGCCCCGGTGGTTCCTTGCTCCCAGGAATGTGCACTTCTGTAATGTGCTACTATCATTTGAGGACAGTGGCACCACCGGGGTGAGGTCAGTGCCAGGCCTGCAGGGTGGCTTCGGGCCATTGTCTGGGGTGTCCATGCTCTCAGATGGACCTCCATGCCTGTTTCCATTCCTCTTCCCTGAGAAAACGCTGACACACAGCCACGCCCGGCCTGTGCTCACTGTGAAGGTGCAGGCTTTCCTTAGAGTGGCTGAGTCTGTTTTCCCCTCTAGCTCTGACTTAAGTCAGGCTCCTTCATGCTTTGCTACCTACCTCCTTATTTAACTGTTGAGAGGCTACAAGGTATTTATTTCTCTTAATTATAAGTAAAACATGGCCATTACAGAGAGATTCTAAAATGTCACGAAAATGGGAGAGCAGGCTCACTGGTCGGATAGAGTCATGGTGGGGTCCCTGGAACCATGGTCTCTGGCTCTGGAACTGCCCTCACCCCACTGGTAAACTCCCCAATCACTTAGAAGCAAAATAGCAGCCTTTGCCCAAGGGCACTGTAAACTTAAACATGACAAGTTTGCTTGTTTTTACAGCTTCATCCAAATTAAATGAACCAGTCCTGGTTCCTGGGGATCGATTGCCTGTGGACGTTTTTTAGCACATGATCTTTTGGGCATCTTCCTGCATGCATGCACGCACGCGTGCGCGCGCACACACACACACACACACACTTCTTAAAAAAGACGGTTGGGGATAGGGGATACTGTCCTTCTTAGCTTGATTTCCCCCCTTAATATTTCAAATGTTTATCCAGTTTCCCAAATCCATGCTTTCGAACGGCAGCATAGTGCGGGTGGCCTGCAGTCTGCTTCACCCATCTCCTCTTTTTGGACACAAATGGCTGACTGGGGCTTCTCTTAAAAAGCAGTTCCAGAGTGAAGCCGCAGACATGTCCGTTTAGCTGATGGTTTCCGCAGATGGAACTATGGGAAGGGGAAGGGGTTTTCACCATGGGTCAGTATCAGCAGCGTGGATTTCCTGGTCCCCATTTGCAGGATTCCACGCCCCTACCATGTCCTGGCCGGTGGCAGGGACCCTCATGGTCGAGCCCACCGAGTCGGAAGACAAAGCAGAACTGGACCGCTTCTGTGACGCCATGATCAGCATTCGGCAAGAGATCGCAGACATTGAGGAGGGCCGCATCGACTCCAGGGTCAACCCGCTGAAGGTGAGTAGGATTGGCGCTTCATCCAGAATGTCCCCTGCAGGGTAGCAGGCGGTGTGGACCTCATGCCCATGCCCTGGACATCCCACCCAGAGCCAGGGCACCCTTTTGAGACACTAGTTTTGACCCACAAGTTTGGATCTTCCTGAACAACGTGACCAGCTGGGCGCTCAAGGGCAGGGCAGCTCTTTTTCCGCTGTTTTGTTTTTGGTTTATGGACTTCTCTTTGGGCTTCACACGTGCCCAGAGGGCAGCAGGGCTGAGGAGCTTAACTATACTTGGCTAAGTTTTATTGCTCTGTGTCTGTTTGATGGAATGTCATGAAATGCCTACACGTGTTTTTGTGGTCATCCCACACTCCCCCAGAGGAGGAAGGCTGTTGAGGATGGCCACAGTGGCTGCACCAACGGGCTCAAACCCAACGCTGTGAAGAATGGCACAGGACCGGGGAGTGATGGCCCCGTTGTCCACACGGTCACTGTGAGTTGGAACCAACAGCAGCAGCAGTGACAACATGTATTGACCTCAAGAATCCTGAATAAAGAAAAGTTCTTGTCTCGGCAGAACGCTGGGTTGACACTTGGCTGGGATGGTTGAAGATGCTGCTGACCCATCTTGGAGAAATGCATGTGAAGTATTATCCTGCCTCTTCCAAATTGTTCATTTTGTATCTGAGCAGAGCCCTAAGTGTCTCCTTAGGTCCATACAGCAAGCTGAGGGACCGTGGACTGAGGATGCAGGAAGGCTGTGGCGATGTGGTGGCCGCAGGGACAAGTCTGAGGTGCTCAGGGAAGCACAGATAGCAAGCCCTCGCACACCTCGCTGAAGGGTAGAGGCTGGAGGCCAAGGGCAGTGGCCAGAAGGCACCCTGGCCGCATGGGTGTTTCACATGGCCTCCGAAGAAGGCGAGTGGACGGTCTTTGCCGTCTCACGTCTGTTTCTTTTGGGCCGTTACTGATTGTTTCAGAACATAGGGTAGTTTTGAAAGTGGCCACGCCACTCTCAAAGAAATGAAGGTTGTATTGCAAAAGCAGGCGGAGAACAATACTCACAGGGGGTACAGTTCTGCTGAGTCATGCTGTCTGCTGTGGTTACGGCTCTCTGACTCATTGCGGTTCCGTTGACAGCAGAACTGCCCCCCACCCCAGGGCCTTCCTAGCAGTTAGCTTTACAGGACTGGACCTCTAGGTCATTTCTCACACGTGGCCCCCAGTGGGTGGGTTTGAACTACCAGCCTTCCGGTTAGCTGCACCCAGGCGCTCTGCACGCATGTAGAACGGATGTCTCTGGTGCTGCCATTGGCACAGACTATGGAAACCGCCACGGAGCGTCAGAACAAAGAGGTCTGTCTTGGAGGACGTACAGACAGAATGCTCCTTAGAAGTCAGGACGCCAAGACTTCTCAGACACTTCGGAGATATTAACAGGCAAGACCAGGGCCTGGAGGAGGACACCATGTTTGGAGCAGCAGCGGGCCAGTGAGAAAGAGGAGAACCTTCAATAATGTGCCTTCAAATGATCACAAGAGAGTGGCTTCAATAGCCACTCTCATCAAGGTGACACCGGGCCAGGCGGCTTTTCATTCTGTTGTTCATAGGCACGCTATGATTTTAGAAAAGATTTGATGGCACCTGGCAACGACACCAATGATGGCTTATGCATTGGGCAGCTAACTGCAAGGTCAGCCATTTAAAACCAGCAGCCACTCCTTGGGAGAAGGACAAGGCTGTCTGTGTCTGTCCAGGTTCGGGGCGAGTTGGACTCCTTGGCCCAGAGCGAGCACCGAGGAGGAAGGAGCGCAATGAGCTCCCAAGTGGGCACAGCAGCGCCTTCAACTGTATCTGTAACATCTTACTGTCTTGACAGCATAGAGATCCTCTCGACTCCCTGTGGATTCAGTGACCCCCAGGAGGAGACTGCACTTATTGTCATGGTCATTACCATAGCCTTGTCATATCTGAAGTGCCACCCCAAGAAAACCTGCTGCCCCAATCAGTACTCCCCCTCACAGCTGACCTGAATATCCCTCTCCTCCTCCGTCGTTGAAGAGGGGCATGTAAGGAGAAGAGGATGCTCCACACTGACCCTCTGTCACTCTCCCTCTGTCTCAGATGTCCCCACACTCCCTGACCTGCGTCACAGCCTCCCATTGGGACCGACCGTATTCCCGAGAGGTGGCAGCATTCCCACTTGTAAGTCCTCCCCTGAGGGTGGGAGGGACCGCCACGACCCTAACTGCTTCCCATGCGTGGGGTCTCACCAGAGCAGTACACGCGTGGACACGAGTCGTGGGCCAATGGCCAGGGGTGTGGGTCAAGGACTTGCTTCCGGAGGCTCTTGGGGCAATCAGTGTATCGTCCCAGGCCGGCCAGAGGGGAGCCCACAGAGGGAGACGGAGGAGGTGGGCCACAGTTAACCATCATCCCCCACAGAGAGCCCCTCTGTCCTTCCTTCCCTGCTGACTGGGCTGTGGAGGAGACGGCACCCTGCAGCCTGTTGGACTGGGGCTGGCAGACAAACGTGGGGCTGTGTTGACCGCAGTGCAGGGAGGGGTTTTTCTATGCCTAGACTCCTCGTTGGGGTTGTAGGCTCTGGGCACCTGGTTGCAACCCCTCTCCCTGCCATAGGAGACCTCTTAATCCCCCCTGCACTTCCTTCCACCCCATGTCCCTTGCAGCCCTTTGTGAAGCCGGAGAACAAGTTCTGGCCGACCATCGCCCGCATTGACGACATCTACGGAGACCAGCACCTGGTGTGTACCTGCCCGCCCATGGAGGTGTACGAGTCCCCGTTTTCTGAACAGAAGAGGGCCTCTTCCTAGTCCTCTTGCTGACGCCTGACTGGGTGCCACTCTGGAGCATTCAATACGCAAGGGGCGTTCCATCTCCCACCCCAGGATGAAGTGGGGGTGGCGGTGGGGGGGTTGACAGACTGCGTTTATATTGTCATCTCTGTCAGGGTAGGTGTGAATACGCGGAAGCTGACCGCTGGGAGACTGACTCGCTTTCACACGTAGCCCATGATGTTCAGGTTGTCTTGACAGAGAGCCACTTGTTAGGTGTTGGGTTTTGGGGTTGTTTTTTTTGGGGGTGGGGGGTGGGGGTATAGAACACATTGGGTGTGCTACATTTTAACTTTCCACGTCAGGAATTGGCTCATGTTATAGTGGCTCTGCTGGAGCCACAGTAGACAGTTTTGTTTTTGTTTTTTGTTCCAAATAAAAAGTCCTTGTGGGCTGAGCCATCTGTGGGAACTCCCAGGGCAAATGTTTACATTTTCTATACACGGAGGACAGGTTTCTCCTCCAACTAACCTGCTTCACCTGAACCAGCGTCTCCAAGGGGTTTCCTCGTTATCTGTGTTTTTATCTCCATTTATTAGGAGCCTAATAAAAACCTCTCTGTTTGAAGAATGCCTTCCTCTCGGTCGGTTTCCCATCTTACCAGGAATAGCCTTGTTACTGGGGTCCGTGGACTCAGAGGGTCTCGAAGGGTAATGAGAAAACTCAGACCCACAGCCATTGTTTTTGCCTCTTGGCTGGCTAACGCGGTGTTCGTGTGCCCAGGTCGGCAGGGAGTGCCCCTCCAGCGCCTTCCTTCCCATCACACTGAGCTGCAGCACCACTTGTGCGGGGGTGCAGGCCAGGGCAGTGTGTGCCTAAGGTTGCCATGGGTCAGAACTGACTTGGTGCCTAACAGCACCACATGTCACTGGAAACCCAACTACGGAAGCTTAAGCCAAGCGCAGGCCTGGCTTTGGTTCTCATTGAACAGGCAGTCCGGCGACAGTCTGCCGTCTGTCCCCCAGTCCCGCCTGCACGGTTACAAGAAGGCTGCCGTCGAGCCAGACATCATACACGATCCCGTAGGGATGAGAGGAGAACATGGCAAAAGGAGATTCGATCCACGATGGCTAACTTCTAAATGGTTTTCCCAGGGCCAGGATGGTTCCAGGTGCCACTCCAAGTAGCAGGAGGAGGCCTGGTAACCCAGTGGGTTCTATATTGGGTCACCAACTACAAGGTCAGTAGTTCAAGCCTACCACCAGCAGTTCTGAGGGAGAAATAGATTGACTAGTCCCATACATATTCAGACTCTTGGAAACCCACAGGGGGTACAGTTCTATGTTGTCCAGGGTCGCTGTGAGTCGGAACCGGCTCCTTGACGGTGACTTTTCTGAACTGCAGGGGAGCATTAGTCTTCCACAACAAACACGCCTGAGGGGGCTTGGGAAAGTTTGTGGGAAATGGAATGAGAAGATAAGGGGATTTTGCCAGTAAAGTCCTCAAGTCTTTTCAAGCAAATTGAAGGAATAAGAAATGACTCCCAAGCCCAACAAGGAGCACCGAGCACCAGCGCCCTTGGGGATGGAGATGGCCCAGTGGTCATATCACCGATTCCAATGTTTGTTTGGCACATGCCATTTTGGGGCAAGGGTGGCTATGGCGTCTGATGCAAGGGTGGCTGGGACACCTTTTCCTCAAAGGCAGTGCTGCCTCCGCCCGGCTTTTAGAGCGACCCCGTGCTCCTGCGCCTTTCCTGGATGATCCTTAGGGGGCATTTGTACAAACGAGGGGGCTTTGGGGTTCAGCCTGCGGCAAACCAAAGACCACAGCCATCGCTCCTTTGCAAATCAGCTTCTACAGTGCACCTGGGACTGCCTCCCAAGTGCACCAGAATCCGTGGAGGGTTCTGCTCAAGCCCCCTTCCCTTCCCTTTCCACAAGAGAGAAAACTGCCCGGGGCGGTCCAGGCCCCAGGTTTCAGGACAGATAGGGGAGAAACCTGTGTGGGCAGCCACAGACTTCAATCCTAATGAATGACACTTTCGGATCGTTCCACCGTGCCCTCTTTCGTTTCCCACGGATGCGCTTCTGAAGATGGCACGGAAAACCCAGGCCAAAGCCCCGGTGAGACTCGGAAGATCTCAAGCCCTGGGGAAACAAAACAAACAGGCATCAGAAACTCCTGGCCCCCAGTGTGGACTCTGGCACACCAGAAGTCAGGCGAGTCAGCCCCCTAAAATGCAGGACACCCCCCCAGGCCAGTCAGCCCCCACAATGCAGGACCCCCAACCCAGATCAGTCAGCCCCCACAATGCAGACTTCCCCCCTCCCCCCACCAGGTCAGTCAGCCCCCATAATGCAGACCCCCACCCTCCAGGTCAGTCAGCCCCTGCAAGGCAGGACTCCCCCCACCCCCCCAACCAGGTTCGTCAGCCCCCACAATGCAGACTCCCCCCATCCCCCTTGCCACCACCACTTGGAACTTGATCCACAAAGGGCCTCTTGTGGCTGCCAAGAGTAACCAAAGGAGAATCAAACATAAACAGATTCTTTCCGAGAAGTCTGCTGGGAAGGGTGGGGACAAAAAAGGTAAATGGCTTGCGTTCAAGACATTTTCTCGAATATGAGCTTATGCTGGAGACCTGGAAAACTCCCCGAGAGAGAACTCGATGCTTGTCCGTGGTGTTCCAGCAGACTAGGGAGGAAAATGCTTTCCACGGCAGTCCACGATTACAGAGGCTGCGCAGCTGCCTTGCGAAGCGCAAAGGCATGTGGGCATGGGATGTGCTGGCAGCCCGCTGTCTGCCCCTAGGCTGGCCACTCCCTGCGCTGCTGCCCTCTCCGTGGATCCTGTTGCACTTGAGAGGCAGGCAGGAGGGGGCAGCGCTGAACCAAGGTGCTGCCCGGTATGCAGGCACAGTGCTGTCCCGGCCCACGTTCTTACAGCCCAGCATCAAGGTGAGTGAACGGAACCCCCAGCCATTGAGTCCATGCCGACTCACTGCAACTCCGTGAGACAGGGTAGAACTGCCCTGTGGGCTTACTGTAGCAGAAAGCCTGGCCTGTCTCCAGGCGAGTGGCTGGTGGTTTCAAACTGCTGACCTTGCGGATAGCAGCTTCATCCGTGGAACAGCCGCTGTGAGTTTCTGAGACTAGCTCTTTATGTGGGTAGGAAGCCCCGGCTGGTGGTGTTGAACTGCTGACCTTGCAGCCCACCTGACAGCCAGTGTGCCACCAGAGTTCCTCTCTATGTAAGGGAATGTCTGCGTCCATCAACCAACCACACAGTGGGGTGGGGGGAGGGACACGGGCTGGAGTTGCGATCCTAGCTCTCCACTAGCTGCGCCTGAGGGGAGGCAGTCACTTCTCCGAATGGCTCCAAGGTCTAGAATGGAGGCAACATAGGCACTACAGGCTGTGAACAGGAACAGAAAGACGTGGGAAATGCAAAAAGAAGAAAATGATCCTTGACATAAAGCTAGGTTACACAGTAGACTTGATGCGGTTAAAGAGTAAGTAATGAACTGGAAAAAACCACCTAGAACACAGCTCAGAGCGAGAGGACATGGGAGAGTCCTTGCGCTGTGAATGGCAGACTAGAAAATTCTAGCAAGAAGGGGGTTAGAGAAAATGGGAGAGGAGTCTTTTTTTTTTTTTTAAGTGAGGATTCTGTAGAACAAAGGAGCTTCATTTTTAGGACATCATGCTCGGTAGAGGGACCGTGACCTCGAGGAGGATGGGCTGCCACAGCGGGCTCAAACACAGGCAGCTGTGAGGATGGCGCGGCACCAGGTGGTACTTCGCTGTTTTTAGGGCCCTTCTGGGTCGGAACCAACTCTACGGTACTGGACACGGTATCGCGGGGGAAAGCTGGATACGAGGACTAAGGAACTCTACGAGTTTTGTAAACTTCTTGTGAATCCACAAAATAAGGAAAGGGTAAAATTAATAAGTGAGCGGGACAAGGGAGATTCTACTGTTTAAAATGGAAGTATATAAAGACCCCGGGATGTGGCAAGAGAACACATGAGGGGCCTTTTTTGGGGTTGTTAAACAGCTGACTCAAACAGTTAACACTGGGTTGGTGGGAGAGCTACTTTGGGGGTGGAGATGTTTTAGCCCAAAATGCATGGAAGTTTTAGTATGCATTCTGAGCAGACCCACTGGGGTAACTAAATTCTAACTCTAAAATATTTGAGCTCTCTGGTCCACAAGCTTCCAGGCACTCAGGAGAAGGGGCAGACTGTAATGAAAGCGAGGGTCGGCTCAAAAAAACTTGTGGCACTTGTCCAGAGCCAGCCACCTGGAGAGGCACAGTCACTGAGCCTGGGGGCTCAGGACCACAGGCAGGGGGGACATCAAGGACAACTATGGCACCACATAGTCCACCCAGGCAATGGTCTATACTTGTGGGCATCTGGCAGCCATCAGGTTAAGACAGGGTCCACACAAAATGTCCACAGGATCCTGGACTGGCCACCAGGCTCGTGTCTTGCCCATTAGGATGTGTCAGAGAGCTTGCTTTCGTGTCAAAATTTTCACCAGGACAAAAGGCTCTCTAATACAAACATCTAGTAAATGTCTGGGCTGAGATCGGAGTATTTCAGGAGTAAAATTGAACCCTTGGCTATGTCATCTGGGGCCGATGACCTGGGCAAGCCAAAACATGGGGCCACCCTATTTATGTCTGCCATCTCCTACTGTCTAAGGAACTGTCCCTACCTCACTGCTCTTCATCTCCCAGTTCCCTCGGGTAAGGAATCTGCAGCTCAGTCTCAGAAGGTTCAAGCGAGAGAGAACCAACGCGGCCTCACGACCGTACTCGCTCTTGGAAACCACCTACAACAGTTCAGAGGGAGAGATGAAATAGTTAAGAGTCGTTGAGCTGGGACTGGCAGACTAAAATATTCTAGCAGGTCAAGAAGAGGATAGAGAAAATGGGAGAGGAGTCTTTTTTTAAAAAAAAATAAAGAATGAGAATTCTCTAGAACAAAATCGCCTTCAGACCCTTGCCACAGACCCGTCCACTGGGCAGCTGGCTTCTCTGGGTGACAAAGGGCACCCCAATGGAAACCGTCCTGTTTTTGTAACCTAATCTTGGAAGTCTGGTCCATTCCTTCTGCTGTAGTCTACTCACTACAAGTCAGTCTAGTGCCTACTTGGGGGTGGGGGGGATTACACAAACATGAGAAGATGGGGATCATTGGGGCCATCGACTAATTGTCAGCAGCTCATAGCCAATGGACTTCAATGTTAAAGAACATCTCAGATGTGCCCTACACATCAAGAAGGGCAACCATGGGAGTTTTAGATCTAAGATTGATTAGAACACCAATTCACAAAATCAATTGTTATCTACTGGTAGGTTGGGGATGGTGGTGTAAAAAAATGAATGAAATGGGATACATCTCAGACTCAAGACTGACTTCCGCACTGTGTTGAATGTCCACTACCAGTTGGCGTAGCCTCTGCTCTGTAATGGAACGCAGGGTGATGGACAGATCCCCAGTTGGCATTCGACTGGTCCCCCTGGAAGGGGAAAGAACTTGCAGCAGGCAATTAAGAACTGGCCGGATGTGACAGCATTTTTACTCACCACAGACTGACTGACTGGCCGCAATACTTACCCAAGTATAAGGAGCCTGAGTGTAACCTCAGTACCTGTGCTTTTTCATCTATTCAACACGTGATGTCCTGCAGGGCTACACACGCTCTAGAAGGGTTACAGTGAAACGACCCAACAATGCCACGTGTTGGGGAGGGTGTGGGGCAACCAGAACCCCCCCTTGGCTGGCGGGAATGTAAGATAGCATAAACTACTTCGGATGGCACGTCTTCACTTTTCTTGGAGTCAATAACTACAAAGGAAATCGATAGGTTTCATGGTAAGTGTACATTTAATTTTATAAGAAATTGTCAAACTTTTCCAGAGATTTACACACACAAGTTCATGGCAGCTTTATGTGTTACAGCGCGACACCTGGGAACGACCCAAACCTCCACCAGCAGTGGATGGGCCACCCACGTACGATGAACGTACTCAGCCATACATTCAGAATCTGGCAGTGTCCGTCCTATTTTGTCTGCTGCGTTTTTTTTGCTTGTTCTCACAATCACGTCTTGTTCTGAGAGTTGTAATCTTCATTCGCTCCTCTGCCCTAGCAGCTGATTCCTGCTCCATCATAGCAATGCAATGTCACACTAGTTCCTGGGATTCTGTTACTCACTGTTTTCAATGGCAGCCGTTTGGTCTGCTCTGTCCCTTTAGCTAGCTCTTGAGTTCTTGTGTCTAGAGACTGGAGGTTACTCCCACCCCACCCCCTTCTGTGCAGGATCTGATTAGCCCAGGTTACTAAGGATCAGTTCCTTCAGGGATTGTGATGGTCTTGTTGTGGGGTGAGCAAGGATAAATCCTTCCAAAGTGGATGGTGAATGGGCCCATCAGGCGCAATCCCCCCAAACTGTCTTCCTGGGCGTCCAGAAGGTGAGTAAGGAAGGTTGACCTCAAGTCCGTGAATGTGTCAGCATGCAGGTTTGAGTCGCCCCAGGAAAAGACACAAAGCAGTACCGCCCCTTCATCATCCTACGCAGAGGAAAGCAGTTGAGTACTCCACAGCCACCCATCACTGTGCCCCCTAACTGTCAGCGAACCCAGAGAGCTCATCATTCAAACTCAACCTGAGAGGCAACCAGACACACCATGAGTCACCTTGGGGCCAAGCATGTCACCTGCAGAGAAGCCTCAGAGACAAAGCAGATCCCACTGTGGGCACCCTGGATTTCTACCTACCGGTTCACAGGAAGTAGAGAAACACGTTCAAGCTACACAACAGGGTTACAATCAGCAAAATCTACTTAAGAAACTACAGCACGACCTAATTTCCACATATAAATTGCAAAGACAGGGTGGGGGGTACGAAAGATGGTGGGCTCCTGCACAGGTGAACAGACTCCTAAGACCACCGAGGCACTGTGAGGTCCTTGCTTGGATTCCCGATTCAAACAAAGCGATGGAAACGTGTCATCATCTTATGACATTTGAAACAAAGGAAATCTGAACATTTACTAGACTTGATATAAAGGATTTTTAACTGTAAAAATGCATGATGCAATGGTATTGTGCTTTTCTAAAAGTTCCTATCTTTTATAAGTACAGAGTGAAAGGTTTGTGTAAAAAACTTGTCTTTAAAAAAAAATAATTTTCACAAAAGCTCAACAGCTGCCTAAGATGGCATGGCTTGAAGCCCCTTCCTCTCGACCCCCGTGGACATGTTCCACTGTCCTCGGCCTGCTCCAGGGCTCCCACGTCACAGTCAAGTTAGAAGAACCAGTGTTAGAACTATGGGAGTCAGTTCGTTTGTGAAGGGGGTTGAGTTAAACCTGCCGAAGTAGCTGCACCTGAGGGGTACCCCCCTTCCCTCCACTCCCCCCCTTTCATGGGGAGACCGGGCCAGAGCTGAAGGGACCATAGGGCAGAATGAGGCCATTTAATGATTTACACCTTCCATCCAAAAAGGTCCAATGTAAATCAGGTTCTTTACAATGAAAGTGATTTCAATGTCAACTACCAGCCCCAGGGAGAGTCTGCCCTCCAGGCTGAGAGCTGCGGCAGGGCCGGCGCAGGGCACACAGCTCCCTCCGACCTTGCTGGGTGGGTTTGCCGTCTCTGGCAGAGCGGTTTCGCTTTTCTTGGCCTCTTATGTTCTTCTTTGAGATGGGTTTTTAGTAACATTCTGTTAGCAGATTAATTGCGCACACACATGTACATAGGACTGGCACACATTAAACGGTCTGTAAGTGTTGGCTGTGTGTGCGTGAGAGAGGGCAGGAAAACAGACTCCATCTGATCAAAACTGTTCTCTGAAGAAAACGGAGTCGGACAGTTTGAGGGACATGGCAGTGTGCCAGGGTATTTCAATCCCTCTCTGTGCGATAAACCAGCCCTGGGGAAGCTCCGATGGGAGCTACTAGATGAACGCTGATGGCGGCCAGAGGCACACGAGTCCAGATTGGGAAAAGAACCCCACCTAGGACAATGAAGGGAACAAACCCACAAAAATCTCCCAGAATTCTACTCCCAGGGTAAAATCTGTCCTTGGCCCTGCGGCAGACTCCCGTCAGCGCTCTTCTGACCATGGGCAGAAATGAGATGCTGTGCAAGACGGCACTCCGTGAAAACGCACAACAGCGCGGCTCTGGAGAACCCACGGCACATGCTGCGTAAATGCAAAAGAGAACAAAACGAGCTGGTTTTCTGGACATAAAATATTTATTAAGGTATACTTTGGGGAATACGGTGAATATAAAAACGTAGGATCACAGTATGAAGCAATTTCAATCCTCCTGAAGGTCGGCGCTGCCCTCATTGCTCTGCAGATGTGGGGGCCCCGGGGGCCAGCCCCGCCGTGGCTTTGCACGCGTTTTGCCCGCTAGATCTCCGGAGCAGCCCTCCGAGGTGCAGAGCCCCACACCACACCCCCACCGCAGGTGCGGCACCTCCAGATCCTCCCGAGGCCTTAGTAGTCAACTTGCATAAAACACGAGGAAAAAAAGCACAATGGAGCTCACGAGATGGGCCACAAAACAATGGAGCTGCCCTCGCAAAGACACACTGTTGTGGATGAAGAGACACTACACACAGACACGACGCACAGCACACAAGCAGGCTGCGCTGTCCGTGCCAACAAGCCCAGCCACTTCCTTCCTGTCATCAGATCCCGGGACCAGGCACAAAGCAGATCTGGGAGGCAGTGAGTAGCTAGAATTTCAATGGACGCATTTTTTTCTCCATGATTTTTTTAAAAGCCCCCCCTCCCCCCGTCCTTTCTGTCCTGAGGTAGTTGCAAAAGAAATCATAACTTGGTATCGACTGGTAGGACTGCGCCTTGGACTCGGGTTCGGTGGAACTGGCTGTGCCTGGCAGGAACCACCGGTTGGCATCTCAGAGAGTGGTCGAGCAATGGGCCTCCTACGACACACAAGATGGCGGCTATGTGGTAGAGGATTAGCTGCTTCAGAACGTGAGAAATGGGCCCTCTGTCGCCTCCCCCTTCCCACCCGCAGAAGAGTCTGTCTGGATGGATGGTCGTAGATGGGGCCAGATCACCGGCCTTTGCTGTAGCCAGGGAAGAACAGGTCCAGGAGAGTCTGAAGGTTCTCATTGGGAATCATGACGTATTCCTGGCCCAGGTCATGCCGGCAGGCGGGGCAGGAGAAGACGTGCGCCTTAAAGGAGCGCTGCAGGCAATCCTACGGCAAAATCAAAACAAACACACGGTCCATCTGAGGGTGCAGTGGGCAGCTGTTTGCACGGCCCCAGCCTGCAGCGCAGGGAATGGGGCCTGTCAAGGCTTTAGCTTCAGCCTCACAGAGCAGCAAAGGTGCACTGCTGGTGTAGTGGGCTCTGCAGGGCTGCAAAGCAGGAGGCGGATGGTTTGAGCCCACCAGCTGCTCCGCAGGATCAGTGAGGCTTTTTGCTCCTGCAAAAATTGGCAGCCTTGGAAACCCACAGGGGATCTACTCTGCCATCTAAACTTGCTATGAGTCGGAATCGCCTCTTGGAAGTGTGCTTGAGAGTTTCCTTATAGAAATGGAAAGCCACCTCTTTGTCCTTTGGCGCAACTGGTAAATTCAAACTGACTACCTTTCCACGAGCAGGGAAGCATTTAGCCATTGCACTACTAGGGCTCCTTGGGATGGCACCCAAACACAACCGAGGCCACCAAATCAATTGCGACTCACAGTGAGCCTGCATAGAGTTTCTGAGGCTGAATCTGTACAGGAACAGATAGCCTCATGTTTATCCGGCAATGCAGCTGGTGAGTTTGAGCTGCCAGCCTTGTGCTTAGCTGCCCCACGGTTAAACCCGGGCACCACCAGGGATCCTTGATAGATGACTAGAGAAAAAGAGGACCCAGGATCCGTGGTAAGACTGGATCGATTAGAAGCGATACACTTCAACACGACACTCAGCGCAAAACCACATTGGCTTGTTGCCATTTTTTCAGAAGAAACCAGCATTGGGAAGTTAGGGGAGGCAGAATCCGGCTCTGGTTTGACTAAAACGCAGATTTCCCCACTGATAATGTCACACTGAGTTCACCTGGGCTTGCTGCCAGGTGAACCCTGTTGCAGATGCTTCGTTCAGGGCCCGCCCAGACCCATGCCAGCTGGAGCACTGGCATCAGGAACGTGCACGAGCTGTGATATCAGCAGCAAGCCCGCTCCCGTCATTCTGACCTGGACACAATGTGTCACTCCCAGTACCCGGCCACTGACCAAACCTGCCCTAACCGCCTGGGGCTCACCAAGCGCCCCTAACGAGGAGGCTTTCCCCGACTGTTCCGTTTCCTGGAAACACACAGGGGAGCCGGTGAGAACTGGAGCGTGTCGAGGTGGCCTGGCTGCACAGGGTTCTACCCCAGACAGGGCGCAGGCCTGTAGCTTTTCTCTTACTGACCGTTAGGTTTTACTGCAAGTCACATGCTATAGAGGGGCCTGGTGGCAAGGGGGCTCCTGGGGGCTCCCAAGAGAGGAAGGCGGCCACTCACTTTGCAGACGTTGTGGAGGCACTCAGTTGTCACAGGTTGGTGGACTAGCTCCTGGCAGCAGACGCACATAAAAGACTGCTCCAACTTTTTCAGAAAATTCTAGAATGAGAACCAAGGGGAAGACAAAGAAGCTTGCACTTCAAAATATACTAATAAAGATTCTAAGAGATAATCCAGGAACAGGAATGGGAGCAGTGATACCAGAAGGGCAGGGGGACAGTGGAGAGAGGAGGGAGGAAGGGGGCAACCAATCACAACGATCGACGCATAACTGCACACCCTCAGCAGGGGAAGGCACAACAGAAACCATGAGGGAAAGGAGAGCACAGTCGGTGTAAGATACGACAATAATAATTTATCAAGGGTCATGAGGGTGTGTGTGTGAGCTGATACCAAGGGCTCAATAGAAAGTAAATATTTAGAAAATAATGATGGCAACATATGTATAAATATGCTTGAAACAATTGATGTATGAATTATTGTAAGAGCTGTAAGAGCCCCCAATAAAATGAGCTTTTAATTATAATTTTAAAAAAAATTCTAAGGGATAAAGTCTTAAGTCACACTGAGTACGCCTCTAATAAAACAAAAAAAGCAGTGTCTGTAATTACACAAAACAAGCAAGCCTTCATAACAAGCAATGAAGGAAGCTCCAACTCCCTGACCAGGCTCAAATCTTAGGGATGGGTTGGAAGGGATGCACAGCATTAAGGAGAGAGAGAAAACAAACAAACAAACCAAGCCTATCCCCGTGGAGTGGATGTCACGCGCAGCAATCTCACAGCAGAGGACTGCCCAGGATCCTCAGCTACTTTATTCTCGATGGGAACCAGCTGCCACATCTCTCTCCCACAGCCACGCCAGGGCTCCAACCACTGACGTTCCAGCCACCAGTGAAATGCTTAACTCCCTGCACCAGCAGGGCACCTCACAGCGTGAACCATACACACTGCCGTCCAGTAGATTCTGAGGCCGCCCAACTTCACAACAGCAGAACGCTCCATTTTTCCTGTCAGGGCAGCCGGTGGGTTTGAACTGCCTGCTTTCAGTTGGTAACCCAGCCCACCCCTTGCCTGTCCCCATCACACCACCAGGGGATGCACAAGGCAGGCCAGCTGAGTTCTACCTCTAACCAGCTTCGCGTGGACTTGAGTTTCCCTTAGGAAAGGTTTCTGCCTCACACAGGTTGGGGCGTGAGCAGATCTGACCGTCTAACAGAAAAGGGTTTCTAAGATGTGTTAGTTCTGCCGAGTGTCTTCCACAGGAAGGGTCTTAAGTACTGTTGTTAGCTTAACGGCTGGCCCTCAGTCCAAATGAACACAGCACGGTCAGGTACCGCCCTCACCATTGTTACGTCTGGGCCCATCGCTGCAGTCAGGGTGTCGGGTCACCTTGCTGAAGGTCTGCCTTTCTGGTGCTGACCTTGACCAAGCACGGACTTTTTCCAGGTACTGGTCTGATAGCACGTCTGAAGCACGGGAGACAAAGTTTCAACAGCCTTGCTTCCAAGACAGCTGTGTTTGTTCTTCAGGGCATGTTCTCTGTCTTAAAAATCATTTTATTGGGGGCTCGTACAACTCTTATCACAAACCATCCATCCATTGTGTCAAGCACATTTGTGCATTTGTTGCCATCATCATTCTCTGAACATTTTCCTTCTACTTGAGCCCCTGGTATCAGCTCTTCATTTTCCCCCTCGCCCCTCCCGCCCCTCCCTCAGTCCATGGCATAGTCGATGCTCTCTGCCAACACCGGAACTCAAAGGCCTCAACTGTTCTTCAGGCTTCCTTCCATACTGCCCAGTTTGCATGTGCATGCGAGGAGATGGAAAATGCCCTGGTTGGTCAAGCTCATCTTAGTCCTTGAAGTAGTAGACACCGAGAAGTCAAAAACCCACCCCAAGGCAAACTCTATCATCTACAAGCAGTCCGGTGTTGCCCCAGATTCCTTCTGGAAGGATATGAAGACTGGACAGAAGGGTCACCCTGTGGCCAATTTGTGAAAAACACACTCGAGAGAGAAATGCTCGCTGGGCCCAGAGCCCCACTAAAACAGCAGTCATTACGCACTGGTCCTTCCCCAAGAGATGCCAGCACTTCGTCCCACAGCTTCTGGTTGGGGTGGTCTTCTCCAATCAGATGCTGCTGCTGAGGGCTGAGCTGGAAAGGCTCCACCGCTTCCGCTGACTCTGTCGCTTTGACCACTTTGGAGGCACTTGGACACTCATCTAGGTTCACAGAGACACACGGGCAGACTTAGACCCACGCAGGGGGAGGAGGGGGAGGAGGGTTAAGGGGCTAGCAGGTGCCAGGCACATCTGTAGGGCACCACCCCACATCAAAGCACTATCTACTCGCCCTGATCTTTGGATCCTCTGTTTGCACAAGACCCACCCCGGCACCAGTCCCCTGAGAAGACTCTCTGTTCTGCAGTTTGTGTTTAATACCCAAAGCGTCCTTGGATGAGTCACTCCAGGAGAGACTGCATTACTGGGACTTGGCCTCGGCGGCCATTACCTACCATCTGCATTCAGCCTTTTTGAGGTCTCATTGGTCTGCTTCTTTGACTGTCCTTTTGTCTTCTTGGCTTCCTTGTCTGAAGGGTAACCTGCTGGATACTGATTGGGGGGAAAGCACAAGGTAGATTTTAGTTCACAGAGGAGGAGGGTTTTAGATCCTGATGAAAATGTTAAAAATGGGGGGGAGTTTCCCAGGGGTAGGAGCCGCCCATGCCTCTTTCTACATGTAAAGACTTTATGACAGAATCAGACATTTAACAGTCAAAGGACTGACAGGATAGAAGGCTATTACGTTCCAAATCCAGGCTAAAAACATGGTGCTTTGATTGCGAGCTATCCTGTTTCCTAACACAATGATCCTTTCAGGCCACCCCATCGCAGATCTGCAAGATCAAAGGTCGCTTCTTCGGGAGCTGTGGCTGTATCTGGCTTGAAACATTGGAGGGGAAGGGGAGCAGAATCTGGGTAGGAAGGGGAGGGGAGATCAATCACACAACACAATGGGTGGGAAGCGCACAGATGGGGGCTTGTGGGAAACTGGGGCGTCAACCCAATAAAACCCCAAGGGGCAAATTTATCATCGCTCAACGTGATGCGGGAAGCAAAGCATGGAGAAGGCCGAAGGTGGCTGCACTGATTGAGCTGGCTGCCAGGCAGGGCTCCGGCTTCAAGGAGTAAAGGCCAATCTGCTCTCCTAAGGCTTTTCTGGCCGTGTGTTACAGCTCTGTTGCTGGGGGATGGGGGCGGGGAGCCCAGCATGCTTTGTGGTCCAATTCACATCAAAATCTCAACATGCATCAGGCCTCCTCTGTGCTCTTATCGCCCCCTCAGAGCAGATGGGCAGTTTCTCACCTCATCTACCTGAAACAATGCTCTGCTGAGCCAGGGCGAGTGAAAACCCCTCTGAAAACAGGCCTAACAAAAGGTTGATTTGTTTTCTAAAAAACACTGTCATCCAAAGTGCTATGTTCAGAGTTGTTTCAGCAGCTCTCACCTCGTGGACACAACCCATTCTAGGGGTACTGGGAGAAAACAGAGACTTACACGGGAAGGAAGACACTTGCCTAAGGGGGGAGGCAGGTGCCCACAGCTCAGCTGAGACACAGGGGTGCGGGCAGAGCCAGGGGATGAGGGGGAGGGCAGGATGGATGCACACCATGCTCGACTCAGGGTGTGCATTACAGGTAGTGGAAGGGGAGGCCAGCCACACATGCACCCTGCGCATAGACAAACATGATGAGGGCAGGTGAGAGGGGAGAGCAGACCAGCCTTAAAGCCACCTCCTCCTACCAGGCCACACTATGCCCAGGACATACGACCCTTCTCAAGGGCTCCTAACCCAAGTCCATTTGTCCTTCTCGGGCACAGCCCTGGTTGCCCAGGGAAGCTTTGCCACTGAGGAGGCTAGGACCTCTTCACTTTGTACTGTTCCCCCTGCACAGAGGCCAGGCGTCCTTCCCGACCTCTGCCAGTAGACTCATCGATTGCGGGGTCCCGGCAGCGCAAAGGCGCACAGAGTGGAGGCACACAGCTCCACGCCCAGTGGCCTAGACAAACCTGTAAACGGAGACACAGCCTCCTTGAGCGCTCTATTCCTTCCGAGGTCCAGGGCGCAGGCTCAACATCGTCCCTTCGTAGAAGATAGCGCCAAACCAAGAACCCATGGCTTGATGAAATCTCTGGCCAGTATTTCACCACCTAAGTCATGACACATTACAGCGCAGCTTTGAGACGGGGAGTTCGGGCTTATAAAGCACAAGGTCACAACATCAGTGGTTTAAGGATACGTACGTGCCAGAACTAAAACCTCCCTTCAAAAGAGGCCTGCTTTGCTAGGAGAGTAGTAAGAAAGATCATTCACTACCCAATTGGTTTGGCCCCGTTTCTGATTCAGACAGTTCCCATCTGGGTAATGACCATTATAGATCTGGTATGGTAACAAGGCTAAGTTCCTGACTGGAAGTTTGTATACTGGATAGATACAACAGTAACCAGTACGTAACTGGCCCTGTATTTTTAAACAAACGACGCAGACCTATCATTTTCATATTACAACATATGTGTTCTGCTGGGAAACTCTATAAAACAGAATCACATCACGCTGGACAGGTCCACAGGACTCCAGACTGGAAGGGCAGGGAAAGAACTGGTTTTGTCGGAGAATCTGTCCACACAGAGCGTTTCAGCCCGTGGGGACTTCACACAAAGCTCAAAGGCAGCACACCAAAGTCCCGAACCCGCTCTGTGCACATCTCCCAACTCCAGGAAGAACTGATGTGCTGACCCCGGTGGCCTACAGCTTGCTGCTCCCCGCCCCCGGAACCCCCTGAGGCAGCCCTGTCCTGAAAGCCCCGGAAGAACGACTAACAAGACGTCATGCCATATAGAGCACCTTATAAATGCCATCATATCTGTTGCCTTCTTCAGGAGCATATTTGCTGATCTTCCTCCCTTTAAAACTGCGTATCACTCTGACTGGCTTACCAGCTCTCCAATTCCGAGACTCTGCTCCAATTTTATCATCCAATGGAGCATCACAGTTTAGGGCCAGTGCCCTACAAAATAAAACAGACCCTTTATACCAAGTCATCTTCCTCCCAGGAGACAATCAATCGTTGGCACAATCAAAAGGTGAATTAGGCCTTACCTGATGGTCAAGAGTCTATGATTCTTCCCACATTATTCCAGATAATAGGATTATGCTTCCCCCACCAGCAGAGAAGACAAATCAGTTTTCTGATGTCACCCCCAAGCCAGGGGGTTGGTTCTCAGATAGCCTGTAGGGTTCTTCTGAAAGTAATAACATCTGTGCCACGTATAATAGAAAACAACTAGAAATACACGGAATTTTCTTTGCAATAACGTTTGCTGAGGGGAGGGCGGATGTGGGGGAAACTCAACCAATGCGACTGGGTTAATAAGTTATGTTTGAGGTGTATGAGAGAAATTGCTGGAATAATGTAGAAAGAAATCTGGGGGAAAAAATAAGCTTGTTGGCAGGGTACAAGTGATCTCTCTATGCCTACATCCCAGATCACAAGGCTTCTTTAAACTTTCGAATGTGTTTGAGAACTAATTCAACATGAGAATCTCCTTAAAAAGCCTCCCTGCTAGTAAAAAGGATATTTGAATGAAAACACCCAAACGCCTGTGCTAAGATTGTGACAACCAAGATCTAGAGGGCTGGAGACCACTCCACTTTATTGCAACACAGAATGAGGACACACTGAGGTGGATGCAGCTCGGGCACGGCTGCAGTGGCGTGTGTGCACTCGGGACCAGGAGTTCGTCAGTGGGGCTGCTGGCTGTCAGAAGACCTTTCTTGGGGAACTTAGTCCCACCAAAGACACCAGGGCCTGTTTAATCTAGCAATTTTCCTCTAAGACATCTGCTTTCTAATTTATGTGCAAAGCAAACATAGGGAACACATTAAAGTTTAAAAAACCAAACCAGACCCCAAACCCAATCTAGTGAAATCAGACACGATGCTAAACAACTTCAGGGCATGGTGCTTCCTTCAGGGCTCAAAGGAAAACACAGGCCGTTAAGACAGAGACTGACCAGCTGAAGAGACTGTCTCTTGACCATACTTGTATTTTGGGAGTAAATAAACAGCTGGAGCTGTTTTGGTTTAAAGATAACATTCATAGCTGTGCTGAACTTTTTCAAGCTACCTATTTGAACTTCAAAGGGAGGTGATGCCTTGAAAGCTGGGAGATGGAACTCCATGCAGTCATCGTTATCATCTCTACGGTAATACTCAATCTTATTGATGGGGTGCTTGTTGAGATCTGCACACGGTACACCTCCAGGAGCAAGGGGAAGCATACTCTCTTGTCTCTAGGTGAAATGCTTCCATGCTCATGGCTACCTGCAGTCAGAAGGCCTCTGCCACCACTTATTGGTATTGGCCACTCACTCGGAACTTCACATCAGATCAGAGGCTGTTCAGGTAGTTGAATGGAGATGAAACTAGTAATGCGGCTCTTTCCTCCAACATCCCCAGTTAAGAATGGCCGTGGGAGAAACAGGAAGAAATGCTTCTCAGATCAAGAAGCAGGTATCAAACCACCTGTTAGCTGAGAAGCAAAAATGGAGTGGACCATTTGGTACCCAGGAAAGAATGTACTATGGGCATATACAAGCTGAAGACCTTCACCTCAGTCTTCATGCTTGTAAGACCCAAGGGATCGTAGAGAATCGTCTGTTCAGAGGACACATTTATAGCTTGTAGTATACACTAATGGCCTAGATGTTACAATGTCCTTGAGAAGTCAATTGTCAATTGTTTTTCCATTAATATTTCCTTTTTACTACTTGCCACTGAATGCTCATAAGCAGTTGGGGCATATGGTCCAGTGGGCATGGCCTGGATGTTACAATGTCTTTGAGAAGTCAATTGTCAATTGTTTTCCCATTAATATTTCCTTTTTACTACACGTAATTGCCACTGAATGCTCATAAGCAGTTGGGGCATATGGTCCAGTGGGCATTCTTGATGAGATTATTCCAAAAGCTTCAGTCTACCGTGGTCATTCCGAAGCAGGTGGGTGTGTGGAGGGAATTAGGAGAGGTCTTTCATGGCAGCAAAGCCATCTCATGTAAGGAAAGAGCAACACGACGTTCAGATTTGACAGGTTGGGAAGGCCTTTGCAACATCCAGACCGGTTTTCATTGCCAGAACCCATCACCCAAGTCAAAAAGTGTCTTAACTCCTTTTCAGATGGTCCCACCAGCAGAGCTGGTGGATTGCTTCTAATTCATCCTTGCTAGAAACAGAATGGTAAGGGAGACTTGTGCCTGCCTCAGGAATGCTTCCACCTGCAGATCTGACCTGTCCCCTCTGCTGGTTCAGCAAAATAATCCTACTGTCAGAAATAATACAGAAGCCATGGACACAGAGCGTCCGAGCCCCCTGAGGCAACCAGGCCTTGACAACATACTGAAATCACTGTTTTTTATTTCACACCGTTATCAGGAATTTCGGGGACACTACTTGGAACCAAGGGACAGGGACTCAGGAAGTAGGGGAGCTGGACTTTCACGCCACCAAGCCATGAAATACCCTTAAAACGGGAGGTTTAGGAAGTCCACGGTTTGAAATGACTGGAAAAGAATGATCAGGACGACGAAGAGGCTGCGTGCAGCAGCTGCTGCCCAAGGGCTTCAGTCACGTGATTGACAGTAGGCATTGCTGCTCACACGCTTTTATGGAATAAAGCATTTTTGTAGCTAGTAAACTCTTCTGTCTCGGACGTCTATGGTGTCAAGGTCAAGGGAAGATGTCCCTTGTAAGGCCATCAGGGCACTTAGTGAGGGAAGATCACTGTGTGATCTGGGTGTCTATTTCCTTTCGTAACATGTAAAATGCCTTTTACTGGGACAAGTCCTAAAAACACCTGTGTGGCCTCATGTTTCACTTGTGCGCACAACCCTCTTTGACACGTGCGAGCCTCCTCTGTAACAGGGATCGGTCCCTGTGGAGCAGAATGCCATGTGCAGTGTGACGGGTGGCACAGCAGACGCGCCACCTTTCTGCTAACTTCCCTGAAAAGTGCACAGGGCTCCTTCCTGTCCTTTTCAAGGTGCCCTGTGTGCAGTGCACCTGGGATTGTGCTCGGAAGGAACGTGGCAGGGACGTTCACAGGCAACGAGGGTGGGTGGTGGGGTTCCCGATTGGAAGCCTTGGAGACAATCCTAGGGTCAGAATGCTCCAAGGACTCTGGCGTTTCCTGATCAGTGCTAACAACGAGGAGTACCTGTTCATGTTTGTCAGGGTCTGGTCAGCCGACGGGGCACCGATCCTTTTGTTTCCGGCGAGGTTTTTCCCACCGCTTCCCGTGTAGGTGAACTCGTCCCCTCGGTCCTGTGGGCAGAGTTTCTGCGTGAAGACACTGCACAGCCTGCACTGGCTCCGTGCAGAGCCACCTTTGCTCCAAGGAGCTTCCAAGACGAGGCGCACAGCTTATGCACCTGACACCTTCAAGTCTTATCACTTGAAAGCTGTCAATTCCATGACCACCTCTAGCCACAGCTGTTCTACACGGGGCCAAAGGGGTCACACCACCGAACTAACTGGGCCATGTGCTTCGTTTCATTTAGATTTCATTAATTGAAAGCTATTAAAATAAACACTTCACCACACTAGCATGCAGGTTCTTTGATAAACATTCATAATGGAATTCTCAACCACAGGTAACACCATCCCCGTCTGCTGCTGAATTCTGAAATGGATATTAAATGTCTTTTGTAATGGACACGTCTCTAATAACATCATATTGAACGTCTCTGCTCTGTAAGCTCCCGCTGCTCCACTCTAAAGAAACCCGATCAACTCAAACCAACCCCATCTCCTGAGACCACCCTTCAGAGAGATGGCAGAGGGGCACACAAAAGAAAGGACATCAGGGGGCCCCAAGAAGCTCACAGTGAAAGGGACACTGGGCCTTCCCCAAACTTTGTGTAGTCCCCTCGTACTGGTGCCTGTTCCACAACTACTCGGAAGCAGAGGTGAGGAGATAAGAGGCAGGGAGACTAGAAACCAGGGAAAGGAGCCAACAGAATGTAGTAAAAGAATGTGGCCGCGCCATGGTACACGTCGCCATGTCCCTGAAGAGTCTGGGCGGAAATGGTCAAAGGGGGACCCACTTGCAGGGCTAATTTCCACCTCACACTCATTAATATTTTTGTTAAAGTTTGGAAAATAACTCAAAACTGGAAAATAGTACGTACCACATGTCTATTTGGAAACATCACTTCCACAGACTCTGCACATTTGTAAGGATGTTCTTAAGTCTCTGAGTCAGGGCTCAGGCTAAAGGAAGAAACTACTAATATAAAAATTAGCTCACGAGCTAGAGTGATTATTCTGAAATGCAAGACCATTTTATTTTAATCCATTCAAACTGACCTTAAGAACGACCCCACCACCACCCTCTACTAAGCATGGGTTTCCCCCGCTGTTAGATAGAGGGTTTGTTCCTCTGAAGTCTTTCCTAAGCAGAAATAGTATAAAGCTAAGAAGCAACACACCATTTATGTGCATGGGGGAAAAAACTGAGCATTCCCAGATGCCTGTGGGAGCCAGGCACCATTAGTAACCTACCAAGAAACACCAAATAATGTATACGATAATGGTGGTAATCCCACTAGCACCCAGTGTTCACGTGAGGGTGGCCCAATGAAGAGATGTGGGATGTGGGTCCTGAGAGGGAGGGGGCCTGGTGCTGCTTAGCCAGTAGAGATGCCTCTTTTCCCCTCCAAGTCAAACCCCTCTTTGGATTTTCTGCAGTTAGCTAAAGTAGGGACCAACATTAGGCCTTTAAGTAGCCTTCGTGGAATGGTGGGTTGCTTGTTGGGCTACTAACCACAAGGTTGGCAGTTCAAATCCACCAGCCTCGCCACCCCGTGGCAGAAAGATGAGGCCATCTAGTAGATGAAACGTGGGTCACTCATCAAAGTCAAGTGGGGATTCCTGCAATTGCTTGTTTAAAAGAGCCCATTACTGGCATCTTATTGGTCCTTTCCATTAAGAGCTATAACTAAAAACTCTACGGGTTTTAAAGTGTTTTTATGAATCCACGTATCTCTACTACACTTTTTATTGATCCAATAAAAGTAAGTAGCATTGTAGAGAATAAGGGCTTAAAGAATTTTACCTTGTAATATATATTTCTACAACACTTCCTAAACTCATCAAAAGCAGTGTTGCAAATGGCATCTTGGTTGCCGCTACACCACCACATTCAGAGCAGGCCAAAGTCTCTTACACAAATAAACACAAGACCCCAAGCTCTCTGCCACCCAGTCAGTTCTAACTTATGGCGACCCTACAGGGCAGGGAGAAAACTGCCCCTTTGGATTTCAGAGGCAACTCTTTATTGGAGTATAAAAAGCCTCATCTTTCTCCTAAAGAGTACTTGGGGTTTTGAACCGCTGACCTCTTGATTAGCAGTCTGATAACACATAACCACTATCCCACCTTTTGGCAGAGTGAGGAAGGAAGCACAGACTGGAGGCAAGCCAACCTGGACAGTGTTGTTCAAAACAGCACACAAATCACTTCCTATTATTCTTCAAGCAGCAAACAACCACATAAACAGGATCAAGATTTGGTGACACTACTTCCTGTGTACTTCAGCCTTCAAAGGAACAGAAACGGTTTGTGTGTGGGCGGGGAAAGCAGGAGTGGCCAGATGAGGTGAAGGAAATGGACTCCCTTCTGGTTCTATCCATGGCTCTACAACTCCCACTAGATGCAAACGGGGTGTGTCAAAAACCAACAGAGGGACTGGTCCATTTGGCTGGCCATTTCCCTGTGTGTCACAGAGCAGTCTCAGAAGTGGAGAGGACTGCCCGGGCCCATCAGGGAAGACAGCCATCGTGGAGCTCATGCTAAGAGCCTGTCTGAAGTGACAAGCAGCACCAGAAACTGCAGACGAGACCAGAGACCACAAGACCGTGAGGGAGGGGGTAGGTGGGCTTCCCAAGCCATGAAAAACAAAGCAGAGGCCAAAAGATCCCTGAGAGGTAAAGGACGAGAGAGACAGACAGACAGACTGACTGACAAACTTAGCTGCTGTCAATCGAATCGAAGAGTCTATCATTAATGTTTTCTGACTCTGACTTGATATAACCTGAGTTTTGCCTCAAGGTCTAAAGAGCGTCTCAGGGTGACTATCTTAGGTGATAATTTAAGTTTTGTGCTGTATTTTTCTTACATTCTAACTAGGATCATTATGGTAATTAATCTTTTGTCAATTTGAGACAAGTGATGGGGAGGAGTTTAGCCTGTCAATCAGGTCGCAGCTTGATGACCTCATTTGGAGGCGCTAAGGATATAAATAGCTCATTGGAGGCGGGACACACACGCTGACTCCCTGCAAGCCATTCTTGTTGACAAGCCACATGGACACCCACACCAGCACTGAGATGCTCCTACCACTACTGGATCCACAAGACTTTCCACCCACTGGTCTGTTATCTTCCCGAATTTGTCATCACTGCATGGCTGCTTGAGTCTCATGAGATTTTATGGACAAGTATTGACATATGGGGTAATATCGGACTTATGGACTTGATCTGGAATTTGTGAACTAGTATCAACATAAGGGGTAATATCGGACTTATGGACTCCATCTACTGGGCTAGGATGTTTTCTCAATATTCAGTTGCTCTTGTATATAAAACTCTTTCTTATACACATATGAGTATCTATAAATTTGTTTCTCTAGTCAACCCAGACTAACACAATCATCTATTGTGTTCTAAGATCAGTTGAGTCATTGGCGGGAGCCAGGCACCACTTAGTTATTCTGGGTCTCAGAAAGTTAAGGTGACGTATAGGTTACCAGATTGTACACTTGCTTCTTCTCTGACTTTGGTTACCCTTTTACTCTCTTGCTACTCACACGTAGAGACCAAGGACTCTATCTTTGATACAGTCCTGGGATACAGAAGATAAACTCTGAGAGCTGTATTATGACAACTGGCTAAGTTGTCCCACAGACTATGGCCCTACACCTTCAAACCCCGGAAAACTGATCTCAGAAAGTGCTGGCTTCTGACGACCAGCTGTAGTTGTGTCATTAATGAGTATGTGTCTGCTGCCTCCAACAACGGAAACTCACTGCCATCAAGGCTAGTTGGACTGGTAATGATTCTGCTTACACATGCCTGTATTTATATGCATATTCAGACACTTCTATCTGGGCTTGAGGAGCCCGATGATGTAGTAGTGGCTTAGCATTGGGCTGTGATCACTGGCAGCTCTGAGGGAGAACTGGGCTTCCTACCCCCAGAGCAGATACAGTCTAGGAAACCCACATGGGTCACTGAGTCAGCACTGTACCCACCCCTGTGTGAATTTTCTGACCAATCTCCCCAAGACTTTTCCCGAGGAGAACTGTTAATTAGAGAAGTTTAGGTGACTGTTTGATGACAAAGAGTGCCAGTTACATGCTTCCCTAGCCATCTTGAGTATGAAATGGCTTTGTTTCTATGTACTCGGAAAAACAGAGATGGATATGGACAGGCTAAGACAAAAGTATAATGAACTTCCCTAAGAGGCTGTCATGCTTCCAAGAAACATGGGCCAACTGGAGTGAGCCATGGCTCTCAATGGTTTGGCAGTTATATAGCTGTAATCACCCCCAGTGATGTGATCAGCCACTCAGGGTGGGATAGAACATCCTCACTGAGGGCACAATCCAGTTCCAGGGTGAGGAAGTTTCCCTGGGGTGTGGCCTGAATCACCTCTTTTCTTATGGAGATAAAAGAAGATGCTAAGCCCTAAATGAGAGCCAGGCAGTGGTTGTCAGAGTGAGGGAGGGCTGGAGACGGGAGTGGGTGTGGTCACTTTTAGAAGGCAAGACAGGGTGCTGGGAGTTAGGAGCTCCCTGACTGGGGCAAGGGCAGCTTCCTGTTTCTGATTCTGTCTGTAGTTTTGAAAGATGGGGTCAAGGGGGCCAGTGCATACTGGGCGTATCAAAGGAAATGGCTGTATGTTTTCTTTCTTCGAGAGGCAAGTGGATCTATAGTTCCCTCCCAACAAAAACACTCTATAGAGAATACATGTGGAAAAAGGTATCAATAATGGTGTACAACACCAAACATGGCACTGAATTAAACATGTAGAAGTTGCTGAATTGGAGAATGTTTTGTTGTGTATATTTTTGCCACAAATAAAAATAACGATCACACAGGGGGGGAAAAAAGAAAAAACATTTCACTAACAATTAGTTATGTGGGGAGGGGGAAAGGAAGGGGCTATATATCACAAGGTTAGATATATAGCCCGCCCCCCTCCTGGGAGATGAATAACATAAATGTGGATGGAGGGAGACAACGGACAGTGTAAAATACAAAATAATAATAATATATAATTGATCAAGGATTCACGAGGTGGGAGAGTAGGGGAGGGAGGAGGAAAAAGAGGAGCTTACACCAAGAACTCAAGTAGAAGATGTTTTGGAAATGATGGTGGTAACATATGTACAAATGTGCTTGATACAACTGATACATGGAGGGTTACAAGAGCTGTAAGAACCCCCAATAAAATGATTTTAAAAATTAGTTCTGCAGTATATATAAATTATATAGTTTATAATTATATATGACATATATAAGTATACAAATATATAATATATAAATTATAAATAAGATCAGTAAATGTAAAGATTAAAGACTGTCAAGAGGTTTGCAACTCAGAAAGGTTTGAAACTGACCACATCAACATAAAAATGACACAAAAGTGATAGGATTTGATGGATCTGAAGACAACACTTGTATATTTTCCAGAATGCCCAAGGCAGGCTTTAAAGAGCAAGGATGTTTTGTGACTTACAACTTCATCTGCAAATCCACCAGCCAGGACGAGAGAGTAAGCCCCATCGTTACTCCGGCCATGGATTCCACCGACATGGGGCCGATGGACGCCCGCTTCGCTCACCTGTAACACAAGCAAGAGTCTCATGGTACCAGTCAATTTAGTTATGTTACATATTAAAAATGTAATTACTAGACCCAGGCATCTCCAACCAAAGCCTGAATGTCATCCATGCCTATCTGTTAGCTCTCATTCTGCTCTCAGGGGATATCCCCCAGGCACGCTGATGGAGTAAACTGTGTCTCCACCAAATCTGTGCTGCAAATCTTAACCTTCCACCTGTGGCTAGAATTCATTTTGGGAATCGGTTATAATAGCAAGACAGGACTTGGCTCTATCTATATCTACATATCTTGGTTATATTGATGAGGCTCACAAGAATGAAGTTAACACTAATATCTCTTCTTCGCTAGAAAAGGTATAGATCCAACAAAGAAATCTAGAAAGCATTGTCGGGAGAAGACAGATGCCGTAACACATGCAGTTCACCACCACCAAGGACCTCGCCCCAGCGTAGACCAGGAGACAAAGCCTTGCCCAGAGCTCGCAGCATACTGAATGCAGACTCCTACTCTCCTAGACTGTGGGAAGAAAAGACCTGGTGGTATAGTGGTTACGCTTCAGGCTGCTAACTGCGAGGTCAGCAGCTCAAAACCACCTTTGGCTCCTCAGGAGAAAGATGAGGCTTTCGACTTCAGACAAAAGTGACAGTCTTGGAAATCCACAGGGGTAGTTCTATCCTGTCCTGTAGGGTAGGGGCCCTATGAGTCGGCATTGGGAGGGAGTAAACCAATGTCTGCTTGTTAAAGCCACCCATGTGTGCTCTTAGGGCAGCACTAGATGACTACAACAGACCCTGAGCTAATGACTTTAAAATGGCTCTTGCCCAACTTTATCAATAACTCATCTTGTAACTACTGGTATTTCCACTCACAATGAACGTATTCAGAACTATCTCTGCTTCACAGCCCGTATCATTTCTTGTTTCCTGCCCAGCTAGCCAGGCCCCAGTTTGAACATGCCTACCTCGTAACCTCTCTCACCCATCATACCCTACCTGCAGAGTGCAGTCTCAGTGCTAGGGAGGCTGTTGTCCATAGACCCTTCTTCACTGCCTCGAGCTTTGCTCCTTCAGACCCATTCTATTCACCATAGAGCTAATTCGTTTAAGAACCATTTGACTTCATATTTTCAACTGCCTGAAATTGAATGGTCCCTGAATCTTAAGCCCAAGTTAAGCATCACACATTACTCTTACTCAGTCGGGCTCCTAGTTCCCTTTTTTTTTTAACATTTTATTAGGGGCTCATACAACTGTTATCGCAATCCATACACACATCAATTGTGTAAAGCGCATTTGTACATCATTCTCAAAACATTTTCTCTCCACTTAAACCCCCGACATTAGGTCCTCATTTTTCCCCTCCCTCCCTGCTCCCCCCTCCCTCATGAGCCCTTGATAGTTTATAAATGGGTATTTTGTCATATCTTGCCCTGTCCGACGTCTCCCTTCACCCACTTTTCGGTTGTCTGTCCCCCAGGGAGGAGGTCACATATAGTTCCTTGTAATCGGTTCCCTCTTTCCTACCCATTCTCCCTTTACCCTCCCTGTTTCGCCACTCACACCACTGGTCCTGTAGGGCTCATCTGCCCTGGATTCCCTGTATTTTCAGTTCCTATCTGTACCAGTGTACCTCCTCTGGTCTAGCCAGACTTGCAAGGTCGAATTCGAGTCATGGTAGTGGGAGCGGGGAGGAAACATTTAGGAACCTAGTTCCCTTTTTAGCCTCATTTTCTCTTCCTTGTTTTCACCCCATGGCTTATTTTTACCAAATAACACCACCACCGCCACCACCACCATCACCTCCGATTGTAAACACTAAATGTTCCCGAGTTCATGCCTTACTCAGGCCTCTTTCTCTTTGCACTCAATCCATGCTGCTGCTGTTAGGTGTGGTCAAGTTGATCCAAATCATTTCCACCCCTCCCCTGACTTTCAACCCAATATGATGTCCTTCTCCGGGGACTTTTGATAACATGTGGGTCCGAGTCTCACTGGGGGTGTTCTTATCTTCCCATCTTCGCTTCTAAGGGACATTTTTGCTGTTCCTCCTTCCAAGACAGATCTGGAAGTCTTTGGGCCCATGAGGCAGTCAGTGTCCTTTAACAAAACCACAGTTCAAAGACATCACTTCTTCTCTGGTCTTCATTATTCACTGTCCAGCTCTTGCGTGTTTAAGGAGTGACTGAGAATGCCATGGCTTGGGTCAGGTGTACTTTAGTCCGCACCCCCCTCCCCCAAGCACTCTTTCATATTTAGAAGAGGTCCTTCTGCAGCAGATTTTCTCCATGTTCATACATGGATTGCTTTCCTGACTACTGCCTTCCGTGGGTGTTGACTGGGATTGTAGGTGACATGAAATCCTAGTCAACTCTTAACAGTTTCTCCATTAATAAACTTTGGTTAACAAGCATTTGTCTTTTGTATATGTTTCATATAAGTGGGATCATATAGTATGTGACCTCTTCTGTCTCACTTCATCCATCATAATGTTTTCAAGGCTCATCTACTATCTTACCATGAGCCATGATCTTACATGAAGCTATGTGCGAACGTCTTTCATACAATGCCTATTTTCACCATACATACCTGAACTCTAAATCTCCAAGTTGATCCGACAGGAATCCCAGGAATAGGTCCATAATGATTTGAAGGAACAATGGTACATTCTCTGGTACGACCAACACAGGCCATTCCCTGAAAGTCACCAAAGAAGCTGAGAAGTTAGTGAAATCCAAGCTGCAAAGAAAGCCTGTAATACTAAAGAAAGGGTGAATCAACTGGGAACCCAACTATTTATACCAAGTATCAGGGATCCCCACGATGGACTGGATCATTTAATCTGTTAGGCCATCACCACTGTTGCACTCAAACACCGCTAACTCGATCCTTACCCGGCCCCAGTCTCTCCGGCTCTCAGTGCTAGCTGACGGCATCTTTGCTTTCTTTTTGCTCATCTTCAGTCGTTCGCCAGCCTTCACAACCTCGCTGGAATCCGTTTTACAGGAAGGGCAATACCTTAAGTAATTTGAAAAGAGCAGGGGTCGCATCAGAGCCAGTAACAAACTGTACCTTGCCAGAGTGGGCTCTTGTAGCAAGCAGGAGGGTTGTAACACCATAAGTGCTCACACTCACCCACGGCCAGGCACAGCTACCAGTCAAATGATTCTATCACTAACCCGGAGAATGGGTATTGCTCATTGGAAATTTAGCCATTAACACAAAACTAGCAAGAACAGATACTTCGAGACTCAAATGTTGTACAAAAATACCACGGATGATATCTGCCCATTTGAACTGGCTATTAGGACACTCAAGGTTAAAATGTAGTTTATTGTAACACGTATAAAAAGATTTAAAATGTTTAAAAATTTTTTTAAAGATTTAAAATATATTTTTGTTAATTTTCCAAATTCACTATGAATGACTCGATTCTGACTCAGAGACCCTACAGGGCAGTGTTGAACTGCTCTGGGAGAGCAGAAAGCCTCATCTTGCTCCTGGTTTCAAACTTCTGACCTTGTGGTTAACAGCCTGATGAGTAGCCCGATAGGTCTGCATCATCAGGCCCCCTTTTACTGGCTTTCTTTCCAGCTTTATCATTTCTGCCTTTTACCACATCTGCAGTGGGTCTCCCGGAATGAGCTTGCAGATCATTCCGGTTTCTAAACTACAAACGCCGTGTAAGAACATCTTTGGAATGAGGAGGGCTCATCTTGTATTAGCCAGGAAGGGACGGAAACTTTGGCAATTATTCTAATGAAGATCTGTTATCCACACCCCACTGGGCCCATTTTATACATTGTCTATTTCACAATGCTTTATTTTGCCTGGCTTTTAGAAACACAGAAGATGATGTCTATGCTCACTCGTCAGTTGTGACTGCCCAGGTGTGGGATTATATGCTTGCAAGGAGTCAGAACGGGCCTGACTGCAATGGATTTTGGATTTTAGTTCTGAGGCATCCTGGTTAGCACTGTCACTCACTGCCATGGCATTCGGCTCGACTCACAGCAACCTATAGGATAGGGTAGAACTATCCATGTGGGTTTTCAAGACTGTAATGCTTTGTGGGAGTAGAATGCCTCACTTTCCCCCAAAGAGTGGCTGGTGGTTTTGAATTGCTGACCTTGCAGTTAGCAGCCCAAAGAGTAACCACTATGCCAACCAGGGCTCCGTTTAGCACTATAAGAAGGGAAAATGAGTAACTCCATTTCTAGTCCTTGGGAAACTGTGGAGGTACATCCCAGCAAAATTATGTATGAGAAGGCACTGAATACTAGCTTGGGGGGTGGGGGGAGGCGGGGAGAGAGACAATATGAATGGGAGACAGAGAACAGCGCTGACAAGACTGGATTCTCCATCAGAGGTACTGGGTGGGAAGAAGCAAAGGAGGCTCAAGAATGAAGCTTGCCTATTTTATGTGAACAATCCGATTAAATGATGGTACCACTTCCAACAGACTGAACGAGGAGCATTGCAAGGAGGGTGTTTGTGGAATTCATGATCTTAATTTAGACACACAGATTTTTTCAGGGTTGGAAACGGGAATACACAGCTCAAAGGAGTATCGATTTGAAGACGGAAGTTTGGAGCCGTGGGCTTGGTAGTTAGAGGCTAATGACTGGATGAGGTCAACGAGGGAGCAACACGATCAGAGGAAAGTGGATGCAGGTGCTTTGAGAAGTCAGGCAGCCAGAAACCTGGGAGGTGAATGGAAACAGGATAGTAAGAATGAAAGGTCAATGGGGTAACAAGAAAGCCCAGATCATGTGATACCATCACCCTTATAAAAAAAGCCTCTCAAGGTGAATCCAAAGTGGACCAAGTGGCTGCTGGGTTTGGCAACTCAGAGTGTCTGCAAGCTCAATGAGCAGTCAGCGGCATTCTGGGAAATACAGACAGACTGGCGTGCTGCGGTGTGAAGTGGCAATGAAAGGGAAGTTCTTGCCACAAGCTTTGCCGTGGTCGCAGCAGAGAACTGGGGAGAAACGGGATCAGAGAAGGTATGTACCTGTATGTGTTGTTTTGAAAACTCAAGGGATTCTAGGGTGCTGTGAAAAGGACCCAGTGATGGCCACGAGAGAGGAAGTTACAGCAAGAGGGACGTTCCAAAAAAGGATATAAAACTTAGAGAGCACGTGAGAAGGTTTGCTTTCATTAAAACATTGGGGTGTAAAAAGAGATTCCACAGGAAAGTTATGGGTGATGATACAGCCCAGGGTCTGACCATGTAGGATGCTGGTTGGGGATGAAAGGAGGGATTCTATCCTCTCTCCCTCTCTCTCTCTTTCTCCCACACCCCTCCTCCAAGGTCTCTGTACCCAACTGCCTCCCCAATTAGGCTGAAGAGAGACCCAAGGAACAGTCATCTAGTCTACACCTTGCTAAGGACTACCTACGGTTAACACCACCATGTCTAAATACGTCATTCCTCTCACTTAAACCCTCTCAATGGTATCATATGGGCCACAGTTTCTCTCTTTCTCTCTCTCTCTGTCACACACACACCCCGCCACTGCCCCCACCCCCTTGATAATGGCATTAAAAAGTTCATTACAACTTGGTAGGCCTATCACCCTGCTCTCCTCTTCTACTCGGTTCTTTATGTAGTTCAGAATAATTAACAGAAGAGGTACAGGAAGTTTAATAAAGATAAATGATCTAGAGGCGTTGTTCTACTTGCCTGCCTCATTGGATGCAATAAAGGAATCCCTGTTAAGCACTGTTGGCACCTAGCACATACTAAGTACTTAACACTGTTTTACCCCAAAATCACCCTGGTGCTGTCTGCTTCATCCCAACTCCCAATGACCCAGCGGGACGAAGTTGAGCTGCCCACAGGGTTGCCAAGGCTGTGAATCTTTACGGAAGCACTGGCACACCTTCCTCCCGCAGAGCGAAGGACAAGCTAGCATCCAGTGCAGCACCAGGCAGCGGGGATCTGCCTCTCAGGCCTCCCGAGGAAGGCATAATGACGTGAGACGCCGCAGGAAGAGTATCATCCTGAAGTTAATTAAACAACAAGGAAATGGTTCCAGAATGGAAACGTGGCCAGTGTGAAAGCCCCAAGGAGACAAAGAGCATGGGTTATGGTTTAAGCAGCTGGGAGATAGTCAATCTAGCCAGAGTGCAGAGGAACTGGGGACAGGAAGAGGGAACGTGGTGAGCGACATGCCCAAGGAGACCAACTAGGGCTATCGTGCAGGGTGCCGAGAGGCACCAACACAGCTCTCCATTTCTGAGGGAAGAGACTGCAGCCTGCAGAAAGGACTAGGAGGGGTGGCAGTGTGGCGCTGGACACACGGCCAGAAGCTGGTGCGGCAGGGAAGAAACTCAGCAACCCCAAGTAACCACTGGAGCTAGCACATCAAGCACTTTCAAATGCACGATGCACCTTCAGACATCTACAGCGGGTGGTTCGCTGGCATTCTTTCCCATGCAAACCTCAGTGCCCACACGAGGTAACCCTGAGGGCGGTACCAGTATTCCTCTTCGGGGATCTTCTCCAGAGGCGGGTCCAGGCAGTGGATGTGGAAGGCCAGGTTACACTCGTCGCACAGGAGCTGCTTGCTGGGCTCGTGTTTCCCACCACACACGTGACAGGAGCAGGAGCGGCACGTCTGGTCTGGGTCCCCACCACACCGGTCACACTCGGGGTCGTTCTTCCCTAGGGGGAACACAAGGAAAGCCCAGGCTGAGGGTCACCTTTAGGTCGGTGGGCCTTGAGAGACAACTGGAAATAGTAAATGGCTTTTATAGTGAAGAGAAAGGAACCTCGGGAACGACCAAGTGTGCCATGCAAACGCCCTGGGCTCCTCCTAGATTGACGGAATCAGAATTTCGGAGCTGGGGCCCAGGCCTGTGTCAGCGAGGAATCTAATTACCCAAGCCATGGGACAACCGAAATGAAAAAAATTATGTGTGTGTGTGTATGTAGATATATACATTTTAGCGCCTCAGAAAATGTGCATGGTCTAGATTGGGAAGCCTATTCATTGGTCTTTTATAGAACTTGTTCCAATCTTGTTCATTGGTGGTTAAGAAGAGATTTAACAGATCAGTAACATAAAAACTAGGTTTGCACTCTGAACGCTCTTATAATTACTGGCACAGGGCATAAAATCACTGTATCCTTCTCAGCAACCAGCAACAAAAAAATCAAACTTGAGAGAAGGGGATGCATACATCTGAGTTCATCCTGGAGGGGAAATGACTGGTTACTAATAGTAACAACAATCTATTTGGCAAGACAGTAACTGCACTATGAGAAGACTCAAGGGGCGATATGGGGCGGGGATGCTGGTTCAGCCCTGTGGTCAGCCCATCCGGGACTGGGTTTCCTGGTGTAGGGTTTGGGATCTTGATCTTGACCTGGGCGGGGGGTGGGGGGGGGTGCTCCTGGACTGGAATTTGCTTCATTCTGCCGCCTTGGGCCAGAGGCGCCAGTGGACTCGGTCTGGATCTAAAACTCAGGTCTTGGATCTCTCTGATTGGGCTTGTGGGAATGTGCCTCACATCAAGAATGGAGAGTCTTAGTTTGGGGCTACAGGCCCTCCGTTTACCTTCCCTGTCACTGCTGCCACCATCCCTTTGTGCCCTAACCTAGGGTCCAAGGGCAGGAGGGCAGTCAGTGAAGACGTCTCACCATTCGTGCCAATCCTGTGGCCGGGCCTCACTCCCTTTCCCCGCCCTCACTCCCTTTCCCCGCCCTCATCTTGCCTAGAGCCGGGGAACGGGATGGAGTGGGGAGAGCGCTGCTTCCCATCTCTGTGCTGCGCTACAACTCCACACGCCTGGTGGGAGGGGTGGGGGACAGAATGGATGGCTTGCAGAAAGAAAAACAAAGACAAGGGACACCGGGTCCCTTTTAAAAAGAGGATGATCACTTACTCGCTCATCCTAGGGGGTTGCAAACACAGAGAGATACCTACACTTGATTGTGGATGATAGGCTATAGTACAGAAGTTTTTAATTAGGGGTGGGGGGTGGTGGTAAGTAATTTTTTTCTCCCTGAAAGGGGTGGTAGCCAAGTAAGTTTGGGAGTTGATAGTCTCGTCCTCCCTCTTTTTCTAATCCCTTGTGGTAGTAAGCAGTGAAGTCTGTCCACTAAACATTCTAAAAAGGAAACCAGCCCATCTGTAATCTCCCAGAGACTCCCTGCTCAAGCAGTAGTGCTCCTCTCTGGCTCCAGCAGTCTTAACACCCAAGTCTTGTTATTAACAAAATGCACCTCGGATGCCACAAGATATAAGGGAAATGGTCCTTTGCTCCTTTTCACAATTACCAAGACAATGTCAGCAAAATGCCAAGGTGAAAAAGCCTTTCTTGAGAAACAACTTAACATTTGCACAAAACCCAGTAACTGGACTGGGTCTGCCAGCAGAGCTTCGGTCTTAGAACATGAGTTTGTACCGTCTACAGTTTTGCACTTCTTCCATGTCAGTCACTGACCAGTTGGTTAAAATGCCAGTTTAGTGACACACATATGCATAGTCGGAGCTGAGGAGAAAAATCCATACTTAAAAACTTTCCATCTGCAAATGAAAGGGGGTGGGCTCCAGGCTTCTCGATCTTGAAGATTTCATCTGTGAATATTATCCTGCAGTCATTTAACGTTCCTTCTGAGCCCCTGTTTGAGAAAGGAAGAACCATTACCTTCGACCAGTAACAGATGCCACATGCAACCGATGAGCCAAAATTTGGAAACTCGCGTACTTTTGTCTGCTTATGAATTGGGATCAGAGCTGCATTCCAACCACTCTGGGCTATGGCATCCAATAATGAACAGTTAACATTCACAGAGAGGCGAGCCTTAGTGCAATATTATTTTTTTAAATTCCATCATTTAGATTATCTGGTAAGACAAGAGCTTCCTGGCAAGGCCCGGTAAAATGAAACCCTGTCAATTAAAATTAAGGGGGAGGGGGAGAAATCTGGGATTTCCTCCAAAGTATTGTATATTTCTAAGCAAAAAATATCACTTATTTAAAAGAAACAACTTCACATCTTGAGCCTAATTTGTCGTGAACTCAATTGCCTGTTAGCAAAGCTTTTTCAAAGTACCCTGTGATTCTGTGGTCAATGCTGCTGAGTGCCTTCGACCCAACAGCCCATGTACAAGAGAACACCGCACGGCCACTCGTGCGCCGGCCACAGCCATGGCTGGGTTGAACCCATGGTCACAGCCACTGGGCTAATACATCTCCCTGGGGGCCTTTCTCTTGTGCATGGACCCATGACTCTACCAAGACCCCGTTCTCGTGTGTGCCTATGAAATGTCTTTAACTCTTCTGACATCAAAATTCTACTTTCTTCTTTTGGCTAGCATTTGCCAGGTGGCCTTTCCCATACGCTCAATGCTTTCTATAGAAAAAATAAAATTAAGGTCAGATATAAATAAATACTCCATTTGTTATAAAGAAACTCTCTGTGGCCCCACCAGTGTAGCTTAAACTGCTTTTCGGCAGCAGCATCCCAGGGCACTGGGAGCTGAATGTGGAGCTCCGTGGTAAGTGCAGAAGTCAGCAAACCTCCATCCACTGCCTGCTCCGGTGAGGACGTTAGTGGGACACAGCCCCACCTGCTCATGTATGGAAGGTCCACAGCTGCTTTCGTGCCACACGAGCAGAGATGAGCAGTTCTGACAGACTAACTGGTCTCCAAATGGTAACTTATTTACCCTCTGACCTTTTAAGTGGGTTGGAGGTGGGACGTTGTTAATCTTCACTCTTGAATCAACCATCAGGTTCAGGTTGGCTTTTTAATTAAATCACTCCCAGGCCTCTTTCCACTGGGAGACACCTTGCTATACTCAGTTGTCTTTTCTGGGGACAGGGAGCTCTCGTGGCACAGTGGGCAAGTGTTGGGCTGCTAACTGCCAGGTGAGCAGTTCAGAGCCACCAGCTGCTGCGGGAAGAAGAGGTGGCTCTCTGCTCCCGCACGGGTTTACAGCGGTAGACACCCACAGGCACAGTGGTTATTCTCGGGGTCACTAGGTTGGGATAGATCTGACCGGGGAAACTGAGCAGCCACTTAACACTCAGTGTTACTCACTGATGACAAACAATCTAAGATCTGGATCGACTTGGTCACTGGGACTTGCAAAACGCTGAAACCCCAGTTCCATCATTCCATTTTTGTTCATTCGTGAAATCATTCTGTAAAGAGAAACTTAACCTCAGTGACTGTTCGGTTGGTTACCCTGTGGTTACCCAGTTCACAGAGCAAAGGCAGCAGAAGTCTTTAGCAGAAAAGGAAAGTGTGAACTAGTTTTCAGACACCCTCCATGGGCGTCACCAGTGAGTTGGACATTGCTATGAGCTCTTGATACATTCGAAGTGCTTCAGTCCACGGCACTTATTTTCCTTCTCGCTGTCCAGTTGCCCAGTCTTTCAGGGGCTCCTCACTGCCTAGTCAGACACGATGTCACAGGTTCAGTGTTGACATTCTCTGCAGGGAGCCTGCTTCCTTTCAGTGACAAACGGTATTTCATGACCACAATTTGGGGACCAGAAGGATTATTCCAATGACATTGATTATAGTTTCTAGGTTTTTATAGTGAACCAACAAGTAACATGTATACACACTGACCCTCCAATGACAAATACCTCAGGAGTTCACATTTGGACTTCTTGTTCAATTGTATAACTAAAGGGTACTGGTTTTAAAAAAATCAAATTATATATGTCTCCTTTTAACGCAATCTGACAACCCTAGTGTTCACAGATACCTGAAAACTCAAACTCATTGTCAGCAAGTCGATAGCAACCCCACACAACAGAGTAGAAATGCCCCTGGGGTTCCCAAGGCTGCAGATCTTTATGGGAGTAGAAAGCCTCATCTTTCTCCATTGAGAGGCTGGTGGGTTTGAACTGCTGCCTCTGCCCTTAGTGGCCCAGCACATAACCCACAGTCTTAACAAATGTGCCTTTGTTTGATCCAATTACATACAAGACATTCTCACAAGGCTCATGGCCATGTCAAGGCTTAGTCGACTTGCTTTGTCATAATCCTTCACAGTTGTCAGCCAAGACGCTGTTGTAGTCCGTGGCCCCCAAACCAAATGTTTGTCTTTTAAGAGAGCCGGAGAATCCACTGGTGGGGGGCGAAGCAGCTGCCCAAAGCTTTGCTCCCGTTCTGCCATGCAATGGCATGCAATGCACTGTCTGTGTCGGAGCTGACTGCTCTGTTTGCTTTGAGTAAGAGTGCTGGTCTCCTGCAAGGTAGTCTATTACCTGGAAGCAGATGCCATCCATGACTTCTGAGTGTCCCAAACACAGACTACTTCAGAACTCCCGAATCACTTTTTACTTTAGACACCTCTCACTGTGGTCAAAGGCCCACCGCAAACATTTCCTTAGCTCCAAATATATAAGTGATTGATTCACCCCTTTAAGAAACACCACACTTCAAAAAGATAAATACCATACCTCATTGACTCTAATTAGCTAACAATGGCAAAATATGTTAAGTACTACACCCACCACCCACCACCCCACCCTGAAAAAAAGGGAAAATGCTCTGAAATGGGAGAGGCCTTAGAAGTACCCCCAGACCAAGCTGGGACACAGCAGCTGAAAGCCAGTGACTGAGAGCCCAAAGTTCTCTGAGGTTTACCCCCAGAAAGAAAACTGCTGAGGTGAGGCTGTTAAGCAGGAGCTCGAAAGCCTGCCTTTCTCACAGGGGCGCATCAATGGGAAAGAAAGACCCTGCAGGAGGGTGGAAAAAAGCACTCACGGAGAACTGAACCCAAACTAGGGTTCCCCAGGCTAGCAGACCTGTGTTCACATGTGGGGCCTAAAAGGAGCCCTGGTGATGCAGTTCGTGCTCAGCTGCCAACCCAAAGGGCAGAGGTTTGAAACCACCAGCCACGCCACTAGAGAAAAAAATGTGGCAACCTTCTGTAAAGATGACAGCCTTGGAAACGAGTGGACCGTTCGATCGTGTCCCACAGGGTCCCTATGAGCCAGAACCAACAACAGTGACCGCCACAGTTGAGAATTTAAGGGACGTCACATGGCACTCCAGGGTGACTGGCAGAAGCCAATTTACTCTGGAAACACTCAAACTTTAGTCAGTCCAATGCTATTTTACAACACACACTGACTTCAAAGATGTTAAAATAGGTACTACTATACATCTGAGAATCTATGACATATTGTATTTGTTTAATATTCACTGCAACCAGTCCATGCAGTGGGGTTTGGCATGCAGACAAAGCAAGCAACCAACCAACCAAACCTCTGGCCTTCTAGTTAATTCTGACTTGGGGATCCTACAACACACAGGAGAACTGCCTTTAGGATTTCCACAGACGTCTTTTAGAACCAACTGCTACATTCTTCCCACCAGAATGCGTGGTGGGTTCGAAGAGCCAGCATGTTGGGAGGAAGCCATGTGAGGGACTGCTGTGCCACCAGGCTGCTCCAGCACACTGCCTCAAAGCTCAAGGTACTCAGAACCCACACGTCCCACCCCTCCAACCTACAGAGGGGTGACCTGAAATGGCAATGTAATTCGGACGTGATTAAGCACAGTTGGAGAGATTCTCCTAGGTGGGTCAATGACATAAGGGACCGTGGGAGCAGACCAACCAAAAAAACCCAAACTCGCTACCATCGAGTCCATGCTGATGTATAGGGACCCCACAAAGACAAGGGAGAACTGCCCGTGAGTTTCCAAGACTGCCAGTTTTTGCAAGAGTAAAAAGCCCATCTTTCTCCCAAGGAGTGATTGCTGGTTTCAAACTGCTAACCTTATGGATCGGCAGCCCAATGTATAACTAATATGCCACCAGGCCACCATAAGATGGCAGAGGGAGACAAATCTGTGAGGTGATATCTGAGTTCAGAAGTGAAACTAGAGCCAGCCAGCCAATGAGCCGTCTCTCTGTGTGAGGGAGCCGAGAGGGAAACACCAAGTGCAAGGCCCCAGGCCAGAGTGTGCTTGCGTGTTAGAGCAACAGGAGAGCTGCCCGCAGAGGGCAAGCACTGAGCGCTCCATTCTGTTAGTGACAGGTAAGCTCAATGACAAGAATGTCACTTAGACAAAGCGGGATGGTTAAAATCTACACACACATGAAATTCCATAAGTCACACTGAAAACAGCATGTGCACGTAGGAATATAATCTCATATTAACTTCACGTAGTACTCAATTACAGTATGCAATAAATGAACATTTTGGAAAATGTAATTAAACCCTCTACTTTTGTTTTTAATTTTCTTCCAAGTTAATGAAGAACCATGACAACTTAAAACAAGAATCTGATAACTAGCTAGTTCAAGCATATTCATTTTTTTGGTACTCACAAAGTAAAAACAAACAAGCATGAACTTTAACTCCAAGTTCCCCTATCAACCCCCCAAGGCAGATTAACAATCAAGTCCTGTCTGCATTTGCTTCTTCCTTTGCGTACCTTCAATGCAACAGAGGATCAAAGCTAAGTTAGTACTTTGCAAAATTCTAGTCAAAGTCATAAACCTCTGGTGATACTAATCAAGATGTCCAACTAAATTCAAGAGTAAAAAGCATCACCACCAATCGTGTAGACAGAAAAAGGATGAGACGACCCAGTAAGTTTAGGACACTACATCTGAAAGTCGGAGCAAAATTAATAAATTCCTAAAATAAAACCCAACTCCAAGAAGAAATAGAAAATCTGAACAGCCCTCTGATCATTAATGAAATGTATCAATAATAAAAATTCATTCCGGCCCGAGATGACATCACTCAGTAGCTCTACTAAGAGACAGAAGACAATGAATACCCAGGAAATTGCTTTAAGGCACGCATAGACTCTGAAAAGGACAGTTGGTTAAACTAACCTATAAATTCACACATTAATACAAATACAATATTCCTGCACAAAATGACAAACCGCAGTTTGTCTCTACACGTATACACACACACACACACACACACACACACACACACCACACCAAAATGGAAATGATAGTTTTTAAAATAAGGGGAAAAACAGTAGCATACTAAGGGGGAAAACATGTCTATCTCAATAGATGCAGAAAACTCATCAAATAAAGCACTTTGATTTTTAAATCGGACTAGAAACATCAAGCCCCGCCAATGAGAGAGGTGAGAAGGACGTCAGAGATGAAGACAAAAATGCAATTCACAGATAGGGCTTACAATTGTAGAAAGTCTAAAACAATCTCCATGTAAATGAAAGCTACAAAGTCTAGTAAGGGTCCTGGACCTGAGTTCAAAGGTTCCTCGTATTCTTGGGCACCAGGTAAGGAGCCCGGTGGTGCTGGCTCTTCAGTGAGTTGGACTGCTAACTGCAAGATCAGTGGCTTCAACCCACGGAGGAAAGATGAGGCTGTCTTCTCCAGAGAGGCGTACAGCTTGGAGACCTATGCACCAGAATTGACTTGATGGTAGTGGGTTTGGTTTTTTGTTTTCTATATGAGTAACCAAGGGAAAATATGAAATTTACAGTTACACAGCAAGTGGCACCTACGGTTGAAGAAGGCTAACAGATGCATGCGAGTTCTCTGAAGAGAATGACAACAGACCAAGTCATACAAAGTTGCCAACCTCCAAATATTTTCAACGTACATAAAAAGACATTTCATGACTCAGCAAAAACAAGAGGGAATGTCTGTCTAAAATTAACTGTGAACCAATACCTACACAATGCTATCCTTTCCAAATGTAAACTCAAGAGCATTTGGAACAAACGGAACATGAATACGTAAATTGACAATAAAAAAGGGAACAAGATACACTAAACACAAAAACTCAATCACAGCCATGGACCAGTCAAAACAACTCCAAACAAATGCCCAACAGGTTTTTATGTGGAAATTATCAAGATGATTGGCGACATGCAAGTAAACGCCCACGGTGCCAAGAACAGATAAGATCTTGAAGAACAAGGAGGAAGACCTGCCCTGCTTAAGCATGAAACTGTGGAACTGATACCACGACCCAGAAAACAGACCAAGGGTATAACACAGACCATAAGGAACTACAGCACCTACAGACTAACACTGGGTATGGGAGATGTGATTCTGAAGATAAATGGGGCAGGAATAGTTCCAAAACATAGTTAAGAAAAAGAGTCCACATGGATGGCGATAAATTAGACTTTTACCTTCTGCTGGACCCACAAATGTCCTCCAAGAGGATTAAAGACCAAAAGAGAAGCAAATCTACAACGCTTTTAGAAATGAATGAAGGCCCAGGGGCTTAAGTGGAGAGCAAATGTTTTGAGAATGATGAGGGCAAGGAATGTAAAAATGTGCTTTACACAATTGATGTATGTATGGATTGTGATGAGTAGTATGAGCCCCTAATAAAACGATTTAAAAAAAAAGGAAAATGACCTACGGACTCTGGGAAGAGAAATACTTAAGCGATGATAAACATGAAAATGACAACTAAAAAAAAAAATGAAGACAACATTTTTTTCCAACCTCAAAGAGGAGGAGAAAAGGTGCCGCAGGCTTGGCACAGGTTTGAGCACCACATATAGTGGGCAGAGCTCCAAGAAGCCACGAAGTCAAGCCAGTCCCGTGACGAAGGAAAAGGCAAACATCTGGAACGAGATCCTCACAAAAGAGACCCACTCTGCCAATAAGCAAACAAAATGCTTTTTTACCTCATTAGTAGTCAGGAAAGTGTACACCAAAGCCACAGTGACAAGCTACACAACCGCCTGATTAGCAAAAACGGAAGTCTCACCACGGAGTTGGCACGGAGAAGCATGCAGAGGAATGCGCTCGCTCAGGTGGTGAGGGGAGTGGAGTCTGGCACACGACAACCACTTGAAAGGGGTTTGGTCCTATCTAGTCACCGTGGAGATATTCAGGTTCTCCACCCAGTCAGCAACTCTACCCGTAGAGAAACCACTGCGCACCCACATCCGGACACATGATCAAGACCATCCCAGAACCATTCATGGGCAGTCCCAATTGGAAACATTCCCATGCCCACCTACTAGCAGAAGGCACCACTATCTTCATGCTGATTGTGTACCCACTTTGCCTCGCACGGAGAAAAGATTTTTGATAACAATTTTTAAATTTTATCTATAAGTCATTCTGCTTCCTTTTTAGCTGCTGTGCACCCAGTACTTCTGAGAACTTAAAGAGAAGACAATGCTTTACAGGAAAGACTATTTTACAAATTGAAACAGCAATCACATAACACTTCCAGCTATGGAGCCATTATCTCCCTGCTCAGCATTTCTGCTCCATCTTCATTCTAGTCCTAAAATCAGGAGGTGCTCCAGCTGCACCCTAGAATCACTTGGGGAAATGGTTCCAAATCACTAGCATTGAGCTCAGTTCGATGAGTTCTAGTATCTTTCCCTCTGTGCACACGTGCTTTCTAGACACTTCCACCACCCAAGTACAGTGTAAGGCTCCCTACACGGCCAGTGCATCTAAGTGCTTCCTCCTTTCCACCATTGTGATTTGTATCTCTATGGGAAATTCAAGTTACTTAAAAGTCTATAATTGAGCTAACATCCTTAGTCTAGCAAGAGAATTACCTGTGTTTGTAGAAAGTTCTAAAATCGGTTTTCTAAAATATGAGCTATTTTTAGCATCTCACAATTCTTCGTTATCTCCAGAGTGGGTAAACATATTCTGTAAAGGGTCAGAAAGTAAACGGTTTAAGCTTTGCAAGGCCAGGAAGTCTTGGTTGCAACCACCCAACAACGCTGTTGAGCATGAAAGTAGTCACAGAGGATACAGCAGCACACAGGTATGGCAGTGTTCCAATACAACTTTATTTCCAGAATCAGGCACGCTGCAAGGCGAGTGTTTGCTGACCTCTGCTTTATGTTATTATTAGCCATCTGTAAAATGTTTGTTCCCCAAAATGTCAGTTCCATGACAACATTAGTAATCCAGTTAGCCAGGACCCAGGCAAGGAAAGATAATAGCTTGGCTGCCACCCTGGTGTCCAAGAAAAGTGTCAGGACCAATGCAGACTCCTCAGTGCCCGGCACACCACAGCTACTTCTAAAGAGACATGCACACAGATGCCTAGGGGTTTACAGCACACTATTCATGAGACAGGGCTGGAGAACAAATTCAGCAGAGATTTTCCTTTCTTTACAAGTCAATCAATGCCTCTTTAGCCAGTAAACTCTGCTCAGAAGAATCTAACAGGGAAGGTGGTAACGTGTTTTCCTAGGTGAAGAAAAGGTAGCTGTGAAATTGTGCAGAATGTTCTTTCTAACACTTGGGTGAAACGTCTAGACATAGTTTCTTATAGACTGATGATGGTAACAACTGAGTGACGGGCTATCAGCTGGCTTTGTGCCTTTTGAATTCACCTCCTGGGTTAAGTTCTGGAAGTTGAAGGAGAGCAGCGGTGAGGTACCTCCTCGGAGAAACCTGGCAGGTAGACAAGCTATCTGGTTAGGGGACATGCTATTTTATCAACCTAGAGCTCTCCAGTAGTCACAGACATTAAAATAACTTCTTGTATAACTTTTTTTAATCTGTTAGAATGTGGTAAGGTGGGTGCGGATTTCGCCCCAAGTTTAAAGCAATAGTGGACTCAGGTGCCATTTGGGATTAAAAAAAAAAAAGTCTCAAGGCTTCATTAAAAAGAGCCACCACCCCCTGACCCCCGATTAGAGAAAGTCCCATCTTTCGTACATCCCATCTCATTAGTAAGGAACACCTGGTTAATTCCAAGGAAGGGAAAATGACATCCCCTGTTTAATTCAGGAATTAAACACCATCACCCGTGAATGAGTATCTTACCCCAGGAAAATTTTCACCCGCAGCTCTCTTTTGGTCCTTGAAAGTGTCTTCAATGAGGTGATCTCTGCATCGAACCAAAATCCCCTTTCTCCAGGGCTTTCTACATTATAATTAACCATGACCGTGTCGCCGACGTTGAGTTCATTCCACTTCAAAGTGGTCCTAGCTCGTGGGCGCAGATCCTTGACATTCATTTCTAGAGTGCCGCTTTCCGGATATCTGAGGAGGGAGAAAGAGAACCAGGGAACATTGCTCATGGTTACGGCCAAAGGACACACTTCAATCAGAAGCAACATCTATAAAGAGCCAATTGTGCAGCTAGACACAGTATCAGGGAAGTCGTATAGCAAGTCTCAACTTCTGTGACCAAAAGGTGGACTTCATATTGATGATGCCAAGTATTAATGATTGTTTTCTGTAAGGGGCAGCCGTGGCCTGTAGAGCACTAACCTCATATTTCAGAACCATCATCAGCTCTACTCTAGGAGGGCTATTTGAGATCCCTCTAGAGCACACACTATGCATACAGCACATCTATTCAGGCAACTATCAACCACTGTAACGGGGGCATTCTGAATGACAGGTTGTATATTCTCCTTAAAGACACTTCAAGTAAATGATAGCTAATTGGGATTTTAATTTTCTGGGGTAAGAGTTTTTGCTAAAGTCTTAGTAAGGCATTCTGGGTCCACTTGGGGGAGGTAGTGTTGTATGTTGGCAAGGTGACTCAGGGACCCATGAAATCGAGTGGCACTGTCCCCTAGGGTTTCAGGGAGGTAACCTTTACAGAACCAAATCATCCGGTCTTCTCTACCAGTGGCTTCATACCACCGGTCCTTCTGTTGGCAGCTGAGCTCTCAGGAGGTCCTTTGTGGAGACAGATGGGTAGCTGAAAACAGGTTTTCCTGCGCTACACTTCATTAACAGAGATCTCAGTATTTGTTTAATAGATTGAGATGACTTCTGCCTGAACTTTGAAAAACAGTTCAAGTCCTGCCATTTCTTGATGCATGATAAGGGCATGGGGCACACCAGCAGCCCCATTTCCCCCCTAAAGATTCTAGTTCTTTCACATGGCCAGCTCCCTAGAAATGGCATGGAAACAATTTTCTCTGGATCAGGAAGTGGGGGGACTATGGGAAGGAATTCCTAAATTCAATTTCTATGTGATATTATGTATATTTCTCAAGGCAAGTTTAAACATTAACCTAAACTTGACCGGAATGTAAAGTTTTAGCAGGGTCTTCAACATGAGGCCTAATTTCTTGGGGTCGTCCGGTCAAAGACAACAATGTAACAGTCCACACTTGGTTTCTCCAACAGTAAGGCTGGCCCTTGTAGGTAAAGTAAGGTAATAAGAGTAGGAAAGAAATGAAAAACATCTGGTTCCCACTGGGAACACCTCAATCTAGGGCAGCGGTTCTCAACCTGTGGGTCATGACCCCTTTGGGGGTTGAATGACCTTTCACAGGGGTCCCCCAATTCATAACAGTAGCAAAATGACAGTTATGAAGTAGCAATGAAAATAATGTTGGGGTCACCACAACATGAACTGAATGAAAAGGCCTCGGCATCGGGAAAGTTGAGAACCTCTGCTTTAGGGGGTAGCTCAGAGCAGTAGTTCTCAGTGGGGCCCCCGAACAGCAGCACCAGCAGCACCTGGCCCTGGGCTGGCACTGTGTGCTCCTGGGCTTCAGTCCAGCCCTGTGTGGGATGAGTGCTAGCCATCTGTGTTTGCCCAGGTCCTCCGATGATGCTGGGGCGTGCTCCCATGTGCGGAGCCACCGTGTTACAGGATATTTGAGAATAGTCAATTATCTCCCGGAGGGAAACCATTCTTAGCTAGGTCGAAATGAAGGCAAAGAAGGGTCTTTTCAGGTGAGGGGAGAGACATCAGACAGTGTAAGACATGACAAAATAATGTATAACTAC